AAATTGTACCATTATTTATTTTTAAACGGGTTCTTTGTAAGTGTGTATGTAATACTTTTTTACTTTTATTGGCGTCGTCTATTATGGAACGCTTTTTATTTTTGCCTATGGAAGGAGCTGTTATTATTAGCAGTTAATTTCATGTTGTGTTAATTAGTTTTATTTTGATTCGTAAAAATCAAGTAAACAAATGTGTTATTATATTTGTATTTAATAACTTTTTATAAAAAGCATGTGCATTGTGATATTATTTTCACGAAATTTCAGGTTAAGTTTAACAGCTTGTCCCTTAGTTTTAATGACAATACTAAAACCCGGATTTCGAATATCGTTGTGGTCTAGATTGAGGCCGTATCAGTTCATTCATTCATTTATACATTTTCAAAAATTTTCCTACAAGAAGAAAGTTCACCTGCAATTGAGTATAAGGATAGGTAATGGAACTGTTGTAAACGATTATCCTATTGATTTTTATCCTTATTACATTTATCTGTTGCGCAGAATGGTTGTTTTTACAAAGTGTACCAGTATCCGGATGTTGAAAAGCTATCCGATTTTCTGCAATTACTGCTGACACATGGCCATCTATTTTTTTATGAATACATTACCATTAATTTGCATGGCTTGATAAAACTGAACCTGCAGCATTTCATAATTTTGCTGTTTAGGGTGTTCTTTTGGGTTTCAGGTTTTCTTTATTTTAAGGGGAAGTAACTCATGTTTACTAAATTATTTGTTCTTTTCTGTCTATCTTAGGTATTACTTATAATACTATTTTTGTTGTATATAATTCACCAGTTGTAAGGTCATCAAAAGCATGTTTAATGTTAGGATTTCATATTTATTTAATATAAATGGGAATTATTAATGTTATGTGCATACATGTATATCTTAGACAGTAGTATATTGATATTATTGAGACTTATAATTTTCTGCATTTAAAGAGATACAGTTATGTCATTATTATTAAAGGGATGAGACTTTCATTTAAAGTTATAAATGATATAACATGTATTGATTGAAAATGTCCTTAAACTTGGATCAAGCAATGTAATTAATAAAGTCTCAAAAAATCATATTCTGAATAGTTATTCTATTTTTTTTTCTAAACATGTGCATAGTTTTGAAAAAAACAGCTTCGGTCTTATCTATTTGTAATGAAGAGACACCGGTCTTCAACCTCCAGGTCTCCTGCGTCAACCCGACAACAGACTGTACATAGAGTAGATTGTTACTTGCCCTTGAATAAATTTGTGCACTAAATTTATAGTGGGTGATTTGTGCCACATGAAAACCAACATAGTATAAAAAGTAACTGGGCGCCAGATGAAAACATGAAAATACAATCTACCACAAAGTGGTTTGTTTGTTGCATTTTCATGTTTTTGCCCGGTGCCCTTGATGCAAAATACAAATCAGCCTTCGTAAAATTTCTTATGTTTTGGTCACAGGTTTTGAGTTCTGGTCAAGCTCAAAGTTTTTCTCATCCTGTGACTGCATATAAGCATGAGTTCAATTTCCTATGCTCTGTAACATAAGAAATTCACGAACACAAATCGATATAGTGGGGAAATATGTTGTGGTTTAGAACTGTTTCATTATTAAAGAGAAAATGTGTAGCAGGCCGGATAGCTCAGTTGGTCTTCTGAAAGTCATGGGTTCGAGTCATGGTCAGGCAGTTTCAGTCAGGGTTTAGAAGTGGTTTTTCAACTGACACATGTTTTGATTCATTTAAACAGATTGCATTATTTGAAATGGACAAAGGCAGTATTGCATGATACTTTTAGATCTACAAAGGGCATTTGATACAGTTGAACACACTATATAATGCACATCTGGGATGAAGAAGTTGTTTTTCTTCTTCTTCATGAAACTTCAAGCATCTGCCATATATAATGACATTCTTACATGGTTTAAGTCTTATCTCTGATAGTAGCTGGTTGATGTGGCTGGTACTCATTCTACTACTGCTCTGGAGTACCTATGCTGTCCCCCTGATGTTCATTTTAGGTCCTCTTTTATGTCTAATATATTGTCAATTACATGTCTTCAACCCTAAGCAATAAGCTTTTATTATAATGCACAGGCACGAGTATCAGACCTTGGAAGAAAAAAAATGGCCAGATTGATAAAAAAAAACCTGTGTTCATCTTAAAAGTGTCAACAACCAAAAAAAAAATGTAAATAATGACCCCCTTTAAAAATATACTTCAAGTTGATAGTATATTTTTAAAGGGGATCATTATTTACATTTTTTGTTTTGTTTTTATAAACACAGTTTTTTTTATCAATCTGGTCATCTGGTCATATTTTTTCTTCCCAGGTCCGATACTCGTGCCAGTGATTATATGCTGATGACTCAGGAATCCTTGTGTCTCATAAATAAATCTGAAGAAATTCTTTCTTATAGCATAAGTCTTATAAGATTGCTTAATTGACTATAAATTGTCTTTGCATCTTGGCAAGACAGAGTCTATTCTTCTTTGGTTTAAGTTTCAACTTAAACTGGCCCTAGCCTCCAGGTCACATGTAATGGTACTGCTATAAAGTACACATCTTTTGTTAAGTATTTAGGTGCAAATCTGGATCAAATTCTTTTGGCGTCGCCCTTTGATGCTTTGCATCAATGATTTTCTTGTGTAAATATTACATACTTAACGATTAACGCAAATAAAAGCATATGTCGTGCTTTGAGGGTACCTATGTGTTAAAAAATGAGAGGGTACCTGTGATATAAAAAATCAAATGAAGAGAGGTAGCCCGTGCCGCTGCAAAACCGAAAGTAAGGTGTTTTTATGAATTTTACATTTATTTTTGACAATATACTGCCATTTGTTCGAAGATGAAATGTAAATGAACATATTAAATATGTATGATGCATATATAATCAAGCCACAGATTCATTTCAGTCGAGTTGATGGGCGAAGCAAGACGTGTCGATTTTCTGTAGCTTATTGTGAAGTTGCAGTACATGAAAATCGGGCACATGACAAATCAGCACATAAATAAAACATTACTCTCTCTTATGTCGAGAGTAGATCAATTATTCTCTAATCTACTATAGCAAGAAACAACAACAAATACATAGGAATAACGCTTAATATTTGGTAGTACATATTACAAATCAATTGAATCAATCGGTATTTATCTGTATCTGTTATGTTCTTGTATTTGGGATTCATCAGATGTATAGCATTGTCATGATTGTTGCTGTATCCGAAACTCTGAAACGAAACTAAAACAGATCTGAATACGTGGTTACAAAATATTACAAACAGAATAATATTGTGTAATCTGTAAAATATTAAATAACAAGTTATGTTCATTAAAACAAAGAAAATTCATTAAATTATGCAACTTTAATAAGTTATATTTCAAGAAAAGATTTTTTGTGTGTCATGTGAAGAATAATGAAAAAAGCCTAAATATTCAGCAAGAATGTGTATTAAAATACTTCATTACAAAAACGTTTGTTGTAAGAAGGGATGGGGTCGGGTGGGGCGTATTTAAACAGGTTATTTAAGTACCACCAAATGCAAGCGTCGAGTGAAGAAAAACCGCGAAAACACTATATATATACCCCACTAACCCACGAAATACACGTGCACCGTTAAAAGAAAATATTTAAGGTATCACTCCATATTTAACTTAAGGTACAGAAACCATACATAAACACTCATTCAAGCTATATCCGATACGAGAATAATTTCATTTCTAGTGTTCCGTGGTATACATCTTTTCTACGTGTCATACCTCCTTTCCTTATTACAATGAAATTTTACTGTATTGTTATCCATCGCTGGTTTGTTTTTAGCAGAGAATGACCTGTGCATGTTCAGAGAGGGTACCGTTTGAGCAGATTTTGGAAAGAGGGTACCGATATGGATATGCACCGTGAATAAGGTTTCTGTTAAAGCCGTGGTCTTGTGAATTTTTAAGTTAATTATCAACACTATAAAAATAGCATTTGTGCCCGTGGCGATTCTTATCAGCTACCCTGAATTAATACACACTTGTTTATATTAATCAATATGTAATAAAATGTGAATCTGGTTCCTCTACTAAGACTTCTAACCATACTTATTAATTACTTGTTACACTTAAATGAATCTCAGTGACAACTTGAAGAATATTATGAATGAGATTGGTGCTGTACGGAAAGGCCGGTGAGGACTTTTCAACTTTGTGAATTCCCAATGTCATCTTCGTGAATTCAAAGTTTTAACATCGTGAATTCATGTTTTTTAACATAAGAAATTCACGATTTTACGATTTCAACTTCATAAATTCACGATTTAACATTCACTTGAACTTCATGATTTAAGATTCACTAATTCACGATTTCAACTTCATGAATTGAATATTGAACTCTCAATTTAGGAAAACCGTATTGTCTTTTGTGGCAGCAGATATTAGGAAATTCACGACCATCTGAATGAATTAATTACAAGTTGGTTCTACAAAGATTTATACCAATTTATCTATATGATAGAAAATGGAACAAAACAATACATATAACACGGAAATCGCAAATTTCATTTCGAAAGTATAGTTTTTTTTTCACAAAAAAATAAATAAATAAAGATTGATTAGTAAAAGTATGAATGTTTTAATTCCTCAACTGTTATTGCATTATGTAACTTAAAAACATAAAAATGGCTTTTGTTTAAATGCATTTCAATAATAGCATTATTAAACAACATTATTAGTAACTCGTGGCCACGACATAGTAACTCGTGCGTAAATAAAAACACACACATGTCACCCTTTTGTGCCACTGTAACATTTCGACTGGGACTAAAGTTAAGATGTAACAGTCATTGTTAGTCCCAGATTTGGAGATTTTTTTGTTTTGGATCAGAGTCTTTCCTTTTCGTAGCTTTAAATGCATAAAATAGAACAATCTGCTCGCAGAATTCGATTAGCTCCTGTGGTTTACGTGCAATACAGTGCGAATCGAAGGGGAGCCACTGTGTAGTACTTAGTTTTGAAATTTATGCACAGTAATCTCCCTTCCATAATAACTGTTTACCAAGGGAAGTAACTTTTGACTGAACATGCTTAATGGTGTTTTTCATAAGGCGTTTAGACTACAAACAAAATCAAAAGTTATAGATTGCAGTTATTTAGTTTCTTGTGTTTCTCAAGGTTTGCTACTGTGTTTTGTTTGATTTGACAATTGTCGCGCTTTATATCGTATTTATAGAAACATGTCAGAAGTGTCGTAGTGTTCGGATAAAAATTGTGATTTCAATGTATCGTATCACAGGACCCCGAAATTCTATCCAAAACAGAAAAATAACGATTTAAAAAAAAATCCCCTATATATACTATAAAGTAAGTATATATAGGGGATTTTTTTTTAAATCGTTATTTTTCTGTTTTGGATAGAATTTCGGGGTCCTGTGATCGTATGATACCTTATTTTTGGTTACGCTTTAGTTTTTGTAGCTAAGATAATGAAGGCAAAGCTGTAAATATCAGTGTGAGAATTATGCGTTTAAGCATTAATCATATTCTCAAAGTATTGTGTTAATTTCTTTAATTTATAAAATTACAGCCATAGAATTGTTAACATTAGTTGGTATCTATAGATATTTAACACAAACATTGTCATTCTGTTTTGTTCCTGGGGTTACAGTGGGGTATGCTATTAGATCTACCACTGCTGTCACTGTTTACCGGGACTTTGTAAAAAGTTTCTTGATTAACATTTTAAGATCACGGTGTGTGGACTGGTGCCACAAATAATTAAAATACTATTGATAAACACAGTCTTTTCAGTTTTTAAAAAAAAAACAACATGGAATGGACACACCTGGAAAATATTTAGAAACTGTTAAATGTTGTAAATAAAAATCTCAATAAGGTACTAGTTTCAAAATTTGTAAAAAAACATCGAGAAGATAAAGATAACATTAACAAAAGGAATATTTATCAAGTACAATGTTATAGAACGACTAATCAGAGCTAGTGAAATCCAGCGCAGGAAAATTATATCCCTGGTTCCTCCATCCGATATGCATGCTAAATTTCATTTGAGATTCAGTTAAACTTTAAAAAATAATTCTTCTCTGAAAGCCTTAGATGTTTGGGATAAGACATTGTCTAGTTGACCTCTACCAAGTTTGTTAGAATTATTGTTCTGAGGTCAAAATTGGTCCCTTCCAAATGGATTGTTGGGTTTCTCTTTATGTACATGTACATGGTAAACAATCAAAACTCTTCTCTGAAACATCATGGGTAGGTAACAGTCCTAAGATTTGGTGTGGAGGTTAGTAATAGTCATGACTTGTATATGACCCATTTTGATTTTGAGGTCTGTTGGTCAAAGATCAAGATCACAGTACTCTTTACCACTAAAACCTTGTCTAACATTATAACTATATAGAATTGGCCAAGCGATAGATATGATTGATATTTGGACAAACCGACATTTACAATACAATTGTAATGTTGAGCAATTCAGGTATGACCTTTTATACCTTAAAATAACCTTGACAGTTTAGGTAAATTCATTGAATTCTGCTAAAAATAATCATGTTTTTGTTTTATATAGACAGATTTTATTTTTTTTGACCAACAAACACCTAGGATAAATTTATCAAGTGGAGCAAGTTTATCATCAAGTTATGACCTTCACCACCAAATGACCTTTAACCTTAAACAATAAACGGTGTCTCCACACAAATTCTCAATTGGACACGTTCCTTCCTGATAGGTCGGAGCCAAACTGTTGTACTGGATGATGAACACTCTACAGAAGTCCCTGTAAATTCTGGTGTCCCCCAAGGCTCCATCCTTGGCCCACTCTGCTTTCTGATCTACATTTATAATGAACTTCCATCTTCTGTCTTCAAGTTTCAAATTCGCCTCTTTGATGATGACACTGTGGTTTACATTACTATAAACTCGTCCTCAGACTCACAATCCCTACAGGAGGATCTCAGTAAGATGCAAATCTGGGTGAGGGAGTGGGACATGGAATTCAACCCCTCAAAATGTCAAGTCCTTCACATCACTAAAAACAAAAAAGTCATCATCAACAAGTACTTCCTTCATGGCCAAGCTTTAACTTCAGTACTCCTAGCTCAAAATACCTTGGCCTTGACTTGTCCACAGACCTAAACTATAACACAAACATCTCAAGAATTACATCAAAGGCAAATAAACCCTAGGATTCATAAAACGAAATATCAATACAAAAAATGAAAAAGTAAAACAACTAGCTTATTAATCCCTAGTAAGACCCCAGCTAGAATATGCATCAACTGTTTGGAGCCCCTACACACAGTCAAAGATCCCAAAAATAGAGATGTTCCAAAGACAAGGGATAAGCTGGGTAAAACAGGATTACTCCCCCTTGTCATCAGTTATAGCCATGCAGAAAGATCTTGGCTGGCGTTCTCTCGAGCATCGCAGACTAGACTTTAGACTTATTATGTTTTTTAAAATTTACCATAATCTAGTAGCCATTAGCCTTCCCACCTACATACAAACTCCATCTAGGCTTACTAGACATATGCATCCCCTCTCTCTTAGGAAAATACAGGTTAATCAGACTACCATAAGTTCTCGTTCTTCCCCCACTGTATCACACTTTTGAACCAGCTCCCAAGGAACATTGTCACCCTGCCTGATGTAGATCAATACAAACAGGCAGTGGTTAAGATACAGTATTAGTTGATTTGTGTTTTTACTTTTAAATCTGTCTTTCTCCCTTACTTATAAAAATATTTTAACAATGACTAGAAGTTTTCAATGTCACTCACTGTCCTGATCATGTTCATTTTCAGGTTTTTACTTTCTCTCACACCTTTCACTAACACACCCGACGCGCACTATTTCCTGCCTATAACACTCGCGAGAGGGGTTGGCAGTACTCAGAGATAAATAGATAGATAAAGTAAAATTATTAAATTTTCATTAAATTGGTCAAATATTTGTTATTAATGAATGAATTTGATTTACATTTGGACATAACAACACTTTGGACACAATCTTTGTGTGACAAAACAACATTCATGACCAAACTTTCTAAGTGAGTAATTCAAATATGACCTTGACCATTGACAAATATTCAAGTTTTGCATCTGTTTATGGTGGCTATTGTTTTAGGAATGAAAGCTGTTTGGCATGAAAGTTTTTCAAAAGATATCCATCATCAGACTTCAAACTTTCTGCATTTTTTTTTGCCTTTTCCTCTGTTTCAGGCAAAAAATATGTCAGAAAAAACAGTTTGATGGGGTTTTAGGACCTTTAACCTTAGCTTTTTTATGTTAGGTGATTGGTAAAAATACTCTTTAACTAAAGATTGTTAAAAAGCTCTGTTTTACCAATGTGTCCTAATGCACATATATAATTTTTTTGTTGTAGAAATGTATAGAGATGAAAGAAGAGGACGGGGTTATAGAGGTTGGGGTCGAGGGGGACAGAGACGGTATTATCATGATGGTAACAACGTAGAGGAGCCAGATGAACAGAGATATGACAATTTCAATAAACCTAGAGGAGGTAAAAGAGGTAGAGGTAGACAAGAATACAGTGATAGAGATGGAGGTAGAAGTGAAGGACGTGATAGACCACCAAGAGGTGAAAGACCACCAAGAGGTGAAGGACGTGAAAGACCACCACCTGGGCTGAAAGGCAAAGAAATCGGGATGTGGTATGCAAAAAAAAGCAAAGCCAAAGCGGAACAGAGAGATAAAGATATGGTAAATACTAGTGAGACACTGTCTTATCAATTAATGCAAGAGTGATTATTTTGGTGCTGCCGCAAATACTTGTATGGTCATTTCTCAAAAAAAGTGTGGACAAAAAGTGTCTTTCTTTATACATAACACAAATGAATATTACTATAAAATTTTGTTCCCATGTGGTTATTGTAAATAATAAGTTAATACAATATTCAAACATGTTCTAAAGACAAATAAGAATTTCTTTAGATAAATAAATAAATTTGAATTTTATGAAAACTTCCATATTTCATTGGCAATTATTACATAGGTATCATTATATACCAGTATTTGACTTTGTTGGTGTTGCAGAGGCCAGAATTGAAGATGGTTCAACATCAGCAGAACAATATCCGCCAATTATTACATGAAGTAAGATCAAGCCGAGAATGTCCCCCTCAACCAACAAGATCTGGTGCTGAGCTGCCCCCAGCAAGGTACACAATTTTACAAAGCTTCACACTGCTTAAGAATATCTATGTTCAGGTGGTTATTACCTATTTATTTGATTTATTATGTCAGTGTTGAGGGTTTGAATCTCAAAATTGGCATTTAATTCCTTCAGATAAGGAGGTTATGCAGCTAGCTGATGGTTTGTGGTTCTACACAGATGCCTGCTTGTTCCTCTTGTGCCTTATGAGCTTAAAGGGACTCCATTAATAGGTTTTTTGACATCATTGGACTGGAATTATTTTCTCTGAGATTTATGTTCTTATTGTTGTATGTCTGGGCCAATAACTTGTGTGCAAATTTTCAGATCATTTCCTCACCCTTTTTTTCCAGAAAATTTATTGTGGAAAATCACCTAAAAAAAGTGTTTCACTAAAATCCTTCTTACAATTGTACAAAAATCCATCTTCAATTAAATTTTTAATACATTTCTTTATTTCCTTTACAGAGTTTTCAATTTAAAGTGCTTCACTTCATATTCGTAATGTCAAAAAAAACATAAATCTACATAACTAGTGTTTGAATTATCTCCCTTTGTGATGCATAAGAATAGTTGTTTGGGAAATAACTTGAAAAGTATTGAAATACTTTTAAAACACAACTCATGGTGATGTAGATTAAAGAGAGGAATTGCACTGTCAAAATAATGTAATGCTACTGTGCTTAATGTTTTTCAAATTGCCCCTCTAATTTGCTTCATTTGACTTATAAATGATTGTTACACTTTTGCACAAAACTTAGATTTATTAATCTAAATGTACATGTTTATATTTGATGGGAACATACCCTAGGTTGTACATTAAGTTAAAATCTCTTAGGTTAAGGTCTCTGGTGCTAAAAATTAATTTTGATACCTTTGCTCTTTCGGCCTTTATTTATTGAAAGACTGGTGCATAGAAAAACATAGACAAATATGCAGGTTTGGGGAGCAACCATCCCCTTCAGCAATATTGCTTCTTTTTTACCAACCAACTTGTATATTAAGGGTGCAGTAATATTTTTTACAGTGAGGGGGATGAAGGAATGGACTGGTTTGAAGACAATGATTCAAAGAGACAACGATTTTGTAAGTGATCAAAATGTATATTATAATAATGTAATGTTTTAGGGGTTGTATGGTTGTCTCATTAAAGAGCTGTCAGGTTTATTTTGTCAGGAGCATTAATCAAATGATTTTGTAGGTAATAACATGAAACTTAATACATGTAGGTGATTAGATCTCATTAGGAAGAATTGCTGCAGAGTCAAGAACAGTTAATATCTTTTGCATAAGTTTTGAAGTATTTTCCTATGTCGTATGTTTTCATCCTTATTTGTTGTTGAAAGCTATGGGAGGCTTTAATCTTTATAAATAAAGTTTGCAAAGTAAAATATGAAATTAAACAAAATTATAGCAAAATGTAATGTAAAGTTATTTAGACATTTTACATGTTCACTCACCATTTACACTTATGATGGTTAAACATCATTTTAATACTAATCATTATATGAGCTGTGTCACAACAAAACCAACATTGTGCGTTTGCGACCAGCATGGATTCAGACCAGCCTGCGCATCCGGATCAGAATCCATGCTGTTTTTTATCAGCTTCTCTACTTATAGAGCTGGTAAGCAAACAGCATGGATCCTGATCAGACTGCGCGGATGCACAGGCTGGTCTGGATCCATGCTGGTAGCAAACGCACTATTTTGGTTTTGGTGGACGCAACTCATATATTATGTGTTTATTGAGAACAGCTGATGTATCAGAAAACCATGATGTAGATGAAGGCACTGCTAGTTCTAGTTATCAAGAATCTACTGATATAGATGATGATGATGATGATGATGAATTACCAGTGATTACAGAAAGGATGGAGTTCCTCAACAATGATAATTTTGTAACGAAAGATGAAAAAGATAGTAAGGGGATAATTTTATGATTTTTTCTTTGTTTTGTTTGGTAGAGTGCAAAGCTAGAATAGAATCTTGGTGGTTTAAGGATGGCCATTTATCTTACATCAGCGAAATGAGGTCTACATTTACAGGAAACTCTATAGACAATTGAAAGTGGAAATTAGTAAAGAAAGGATATATTTTTTGAAATGCAACTGTTTGTGAGATTATTAGAACAATCATGTAAGAATATAAAACTTATGCTCTATAGCACCATATCACCTAAATAGTGTTCGTGAGATTCCGTTCACCACCAACACTACAAGAGTCACTTGGTGATTTCTGATTGAAGAAAAGACTTCAAAAGTTCTTTCTATGCATTATTTCAGCTACCAATAGAAACCAGAGTTAAATCCATGTAAATAGACTTTCTGTAAACTAGCTTGATAACTTTCTCACATGATGAGAGTCCAAAGTCCAAGGTCAGATTTGCATCTTCATCATTGTGGGCCAATTGATTCATAGTCATAGACCTTAGCTTCTTAGCTGTTATACAGACCCATTTCTACTGGCCTATGAATAACATAACATGTGTTGATATGATCCATAATTATCACAAAAGAAAAGGCATTTATTATGCCAGAGATTAAAACTTGAATTACTTGGCACTCTTCTTTATGAGATAGCTCATTATGGTTTGAGAGTTGATACACAATATCAACAAATACAAAGTATAAACATACTGTTGTACATTTGGTCTGATGTCATGTAAGTTAGCTTTCGTTGAAAATATTTGTTTTTCGTTGCAATATTAGTGTATGTCATTGTTCTTATGTCAGTTACATTTGAGTATAAACAACAGTGTTGATATTCATATTCATATATTTTTACTTTATAGTTTTCATACCTGACACACCAACAAGAGTTGATCAAGGGCTTAGTAAGAAATTTTTAGAAATATTCCAGCAAAGGAAAAAAGACTCACTATATAAAAATATGAAGAAAATTCGGGAGCAGTTACCCATACATAATGAAAAACAGGTATGTATGTAAACGTTTGCATAAATATATATCTGTCAGAAATATTTTTTAAAGGAGCTCCACTGAGGTCCGCAAGCCTAAAAACAGAATTTTAAATTCTTACATAGATCAACGTTGGCACTTGAAACAGAAAAATATGTAACAGATGATGAAATATACACAGAATTAAATTTAATATCAAACTTTTGGGTGATTCTTAGTCCAGTTACAATTAAGCCTTTAAATCCTTTTCATTTTATTGTCATTTTGGACAATAAAATTGATTATTCTGGAAAAACATTTTGAGGGAATGGTCAGAAAATTTTCACACAAGTTATTGATCCATACCAACATCAAATGGTACACATCATGCCCAAAAAACTCATTGAAGCCCTTTTAATGTGAAATTCAAAATTATTATTTTTTTTTTTCCATCAGAAAATTTTTAATATATTGAACAGCAATGCAAAGGTTTTTTTTCTTCATTTATTTCTGTCATTGATATACAGAAATATAAAACCTTTATTTTGTTTTCCTCAGAGAATTTTAGATATCATACATGAGAACCAAGTTGTTGTACTGAGTGGAGAAACTGGCTGTGGCAAAACTACACAGGTATGTCAGTTATCATTTGTTTTATTATGCCCCACAAAACAATCATCATGAAGTTTTATTATGTATTGTTATAAGCTAGATCAGTTAGATGGCAACAATTTATTTTTTAATCCTTACCATGCTTAAAGGCACATTATGTCTCAGAAAAAAATAGTGGTTTAAGACAATGTTAGATGGTTGTTACCTGAAGAAAGTAGCAATAAATGTGAAATAATAGGTCATTAAAGTAGAAAAATGTAAATAAAGTAGTACTTTGACTTCCATGCAAAATATTAATAATTCATTATAACTGTACTTATTGCCAAAAAATATTTTTATTTTTAGAGCCTTATATTATTAATATTAGGTGTTTTCTTACCAAAATACAAAAATTGTGCAACAAGCAGATTACAGCATGGTAAAACAGCATAGATGAACTGACTGACTTGGTACAAGATTTTTTTAATTGCAAGCCATTATAGCCAATAATCATGAAAAGAGTTTAGTTTTAATATTGTGATTTAAACAACTTAAATGTTGTGTATTTAAGGTACCACAATATATATTAGATGATTTTCTGGAGCAAGAGAGAGGATCTGAGTGTTCAATTATCTGTACTCAACCAAGGCGTATAAGTGCAATAACAGTAAGTATTATAACTCAACCAAAGCATATCAGTGCAATATAGGTAAGTATGAAATCAGCTAAGGTGTACATGTGCAGTATCAGTTAGTAAGAACTTAGCCAAGGTGTATAATTGCAATGTCAGTAAGTATGAACTTAAGTAAGGCGTGTAAGTGCAATACCAGTAATTATGAACTCAGCCAAGGCCAAAGTATGTACACAATGTACAGTAAAAACCCTTTAATGTAAAGACTACCAACAGAACTTAACCTAGTGGTCTTTATAGCAGAATAATCTTGATAGGTGTATAATATCAAGACATATTCATTTCATGACAGCAGTCTTTTATGGGCATTTTGTGTGTACATGAACAATATGTACAGTGTAACTTCCGAAAACCGAACACCCATGGGACTTGTCAAAAAGTTCGGATTTCAGAGGTTTCCGGAATTCAGAGGTTTATGATAATGTGGACAAGACTAAGCCACTATATGTCAAGGGAGATGTGGCCATTACTGTAATATCATAATTATATAATAGTCTTTTAATCAAGATAAAGATGTGGCTGAAAAGAATACATTTTTATCTTACCTGCAACTGCTTTTGAATTTCTATCAGTTTCTAGAAATGTTGTTCATTGCATAAACTTACATATCGTCCGATGCTAGTTAATTAATTATTACTTGAAATGCAATAAAATCCCTAAAGACGTTTGATGCATACATTGTCCAATTAAATGTCATTTAATCCGCTAATAAACACTTCAAATTAACTGACCGACGTTAATTACTTTGATTAACCGCATCACTTCAAACAAACCATTTCACAGTTTGTGATTTTAACGCCCGTCAAATTACACGATCACCGCTAATTAGTAAACAATTTATAGGGAGATTAAATCTTCCAGCAGGGTAAACATTCTTGATTTACAATGTATTTCACACCTTTGGATATTTCCGGTTTTTAGAGGTAAAATTGCATTGATTTGAGTCTAATTTTACGAAAATATCGTCCGGAATTCAGAAATTAGAAGTTCCGGAATTCAGAAGTATTATATTAATAGAAAATAGAAGGGAAAAAATCGGGACCAAAAAAATTGTTCGGTTTTTAGAAGTTTCCGGATTTCAGAAGTTCCGGAATTCGGAAGTTACACTGTATTATAATTTTCAAATACTAATGCAAAAAAAGTTATAATATTGAATCTGACAAATGCAGAACAAATTTCGGAGAAATTTAATTGTGAAGATTTAATTCTTATTAGTCTTGTATGTTTATTTAATGATAGATCTATATGTTATTCTTCTAAAAAAAATCAATTTTGTATTAAATAAATGTACGAAAAGGCTACATTTAATCACTCTGACATTAATTATCTCACCCTGCATTATTATATGCTTTTGAAATCTAAATTTAGATAAATGCCTATTATTTACATATTTCGAAGCTTGAAATTTGATTTGATGAACTGCAGGATTCGCTTTTGATACTTGGTATATTTGTTATAAAATAAGTGATATTTAAAAACAAAATTTGTTTTGATTTAGTTTAATTGTTTTAAAGGTTGCGGAGAGAGTGGCCGAAGAGAGGGCGGAAGAGTGTGGCAATGATAACTCTGTGGGCTATATGATACGACTTGAACAGTACGTGAAAAAAAATATACTGATTGTTTAGGTTACAAATATTTGTTCAAATTGACTCAAAAGTTTAATCTATAATAATAATATATTAACCTATGTTATAATGTATTTATACAATAATAGATACAAACTTTTTTTTTTACTAAATTTTAAAGGCAGCTTGATTTCTTTTCTTTATTATTTTAAAAGCTGTTGGACAAGAGTAAATTCTTTATCAAGCATACATTTTGTGTTAAGATATTAGGATATAACCACTTGGCCCCTCACTGCTGTGGGTTTGAATATGTTAGGGACTTAGGATTCTTTCATTTGAGGATTCATCTACAAATATTGCTTCTCATATAAAATTTGAAAAATTCTATATGTCATAATTGTTTGAAACAATTTAAAAACGTTTTTGATTTTTAGCTGACACCTGTCACAAAGTGACAGGGTGAGCTTTTGTGATCGCTTTTCGTCCGGCGTCCGTCCGGCGTCCGTCCGTCCATCGTCCGTCCGTAAACTTTTACTTTAACCCATTGCTTCATGAGCATTTTGTGAAAAATGGCTGTTTTCATTGAAAAGTCTCCCGTTACAAGTTCAAATTGCTATAATACTATAAAAACTGCTTCAACACTAATCAAACTTGGCACAAATGTTGACTGGACCATTGCCCTTGCAACAACATGCTCAGGCTTAAATTTTCTGTTACCATGGCAACGAGGGGACATCTCAAAATTGCCAAAAATCACTATTTTGCGTTGATTTTTTCCATCAAAATTGATTTCAAAGTGCTGCAATTTCTCAATGGATTGAGATAGAGTCAAATGCTTTTCAGCGTTGGTTACACGTTACCTTATGATCAATCTGGGGTCATTTACAGCCTCTCACAAGTCCAAAATTTTCTTGGCGATGAGGGGGACTCCGCCCCCCTTCAAACCCCCCAAACAGAAGGGGGCACATCCCCCTTCTGGCAACCCCCTGATGTATCTTTTGGTTGGGGGCCGCGCCGAAAAAGAGGTCACTTTTTTTAACAACATTTCTCAAACAAAAACAAGTGTTTGGGGCCTAAATAAGGCATTTTTTCATCATTTGAGACAACAAAAAGGGGGGGGGTGAAAAAGGCGTTAAAAGGCGTGTATATGAAGTAATGGGTTAACAGAAAATGATGAAAATACTTGAAATTACCCTTAATCGCGTTTTTTCATGTTTAAACATGGTCTGTCATATAAATTTGAAGAAAAATTGTTGTTTTGTAGATTTTTTTATTTTTTTCATTAACCCATTACTTCATGAGCATTTTGTGAAATATGGCTGTTTTCATTGAAAAGTCTCCCGTTACAAGTTCAAATTGCTATAATACTATAAAAACTGCTTCAACACTAATCAAACTTGGCACAAATGTTGACTGGACCATTGCCCTTGCAACAACATGCTCAGGCTTAAATTTTCTGTTACCATGGCAACGAGGGGACATCTCAAAATTGCCAAAAATCACTATTTTGCGTTGATTTTTTCCATCAAAATTGATTTCAAAGTGCTGCAACTTCTCAATGGATTGAGATAGAGTCAAATGCTTTTCAGCGTTGGTTACACGTTACCTTATGATCAATCTGGGGTCATTTACAGCCTCTCACAAGTCCAAAATTTTCTTGGCGATGAGGGGGACTCCGCCCCCCTTCAAACCCCCCCAAACAGAAGGGGGCACATCCCCCTTCTGGCAACCCCCTGATGTATCTTTTGGTTTGGGGGCCGCGCCGAAAAAGAGGTCACTTTTTTTAACAACATTTCTCAAACAAAAACAAGTGTTTGGGGCCTAAATAAGGCATTTTTTCATCATTTGAGACAACAAAAAGGGGGGGGGGGTGAAAAAGGCGTTAAAAGGCGTGTATATGAAGTAATGGGTTAACAGAAAATGATGAAAATACTTGAAATTACCCTTAATCGCGTTTTTTCATGTTTAAACATGGCCTGTCATATAAATTTGAAGAAAAATTGTTGTTTTGTAGATTTTTTTATTTTATTCATTAACCCATTGCTTCATGAGCATTTTGTGAAAAATGGCTGTTTTCATTGAAAAGTCTCCCGTTACAAGTTCAAATTGCTATAATACTATAAAAACTGCTTCAACACTAATCAAACTTGGCACAAATGTTGACTGGACCATTGCCCTTGCAACAACATGCTCAGGCTTAAATTTTTTGTTACCATGGCAACGAGGGGACATCTCAAAATTGCCAAAAATCACTATTTTGCGTTGATTTTTTCCATCAAAATTGATTTCAAAGTGCTGCAACTTCTCAATGGATTGAGATAGAGTCAAATGCTTTTCAGCGTTGGTTACACGTTACCTTATGATCAATCTGGGGTCATTTACAGCCTCTCACAAGTCCAAAATTTTCTTGGCGATGAGGGGGACTCCGCCCCCCTTCAAACCCCCCAAACAGAAGGGGGCACATCCCCCTTCTGGCAACCCCCTGATGTATCTTTTGGTTGGGGGGCCGCGCCGAAAAAGAGGTCACTTTTTTAACAACATTTCTCAAACAAAAACAAGTGTTTGGGGCCTAAATAAGGCATTTTTTCATCATTTGAGACAACAAAAAGGGGGGGGGGTGAAAAAGGCGTTAAAAGGCGTGTATATGAAGTAATGGGTTAACAGAAAATGATGAAAATACTTGAAATTACCCTTAATCGCGTTTTTTCATGTTTAAACATGGTCTGTCATATAAATTTGAAGAAAAATTGTTGTTTTGTAGATTTTTTTATTTTTTTCATTAACCCATTGCTTCATGAGCATTTTGTGAAAAATGGCTGTTTTCATTGAAAAGTCTCCCGTTACAAGTTCAAATTGCTATAATACTATAAAAACTGCTTCAACACTAATCAAACTTGGCACAAATGTTGACTGGACCATTGCCCTTGCAACAACATGCTCAGGCTTAAATTTTCTGTTACCATGGCAACGAGGGGACATCTCAAAATTGCCAAAAATCACTATTTTGCGTTGATTTTTTCCATCAAAATTGATTTCAAAGTGCTGCAACTTCTCAATGGATTGAGATAGAGTCAAATGCTTTTCAGCGTTGGTTACACGTTACCTTATGATCAATCTGGGGTCATTTACAGCCTCTCACAAGTCCAAAATTTTCTTGGCGATGAGGGGGACTCCGCCCCCCTTCAAACCCCCCAAACAGAAGGGGGCACATCCCCCTTCTGGCAACCCCCTGATGTATCTTTTGGTTGGGGGGCCGCGCCGAAAAAGAGGTCACTTTTTTTAACAACATTTCTCAAACAAAAACAAGTGTTTGGGGCCTAAATAAGGCATTTTTTCATCATTTGAGACAACAAAAAGGGGGGGGGGGGTGAAAAAGGCGTTAAAAGGCGTGTATATGAAGTAATGGGTTAAATGACATCTCCTCATAAACCACTAAGCCAATTTCATCCAAACTTCACAGGAATGTTCCTTTGGTGGTCACCTTTAAAAATTGTTCAAAGAATTTAATTCCATGCAGAACTCTGGTTGCCATGGCAACCAAAAGAAAAAACTTTAAATATCTTCTTTTAAAAAACCCTAAGAGCTAGAGCTAAGATATTTGGCATGAAACATCTTCTAGTGAGTGTCTACCAAAGTTGTTCAAATAAAATCCCTGGGGTCAAAATTGGCCCCGCCCCAGGGGGTCATTGATTTTCCCTATATGCATATAGTAAAAACTTAAAAATCTTCTTTTAAAGAACCCAAAGAGCTAGAGCTAAGATATTCAGCATGAAACATCTTCTAATGAGTGTCTACCAAGTTTGTTCAAATAAAAGCCCTGGGGTCAAAATTGGCCCCGCCCCAGGGGGTCATTGATTTTCCCTATATGCATATAGTAAAAACTTAAAAAATCTTCATTTAAAGAACTCAAAGAGCTAGAGCTAAGATATTTAGCATGAAACATCTTCTAATGGGTGTCTACCAAGTTTTGTTCAAATAAAAGCCCTGGGGTCAAAATTGGCCCCGCCCCGGGGGGGTCATTGATTTTCCCTATATGTGTATAGCAAAAACTTAAATAATCTTCTTTGAAAAAAACCAAATAGCTGGAGTTAAGATATTAAGCATGAAACATTTTCTAGTGAGTGTCTACAAAGTTTGTTCAAATAATAGCCCTGGGGTCAAAATTGGCCCCGCCCCGGGGGTCATTGATTTTGCCTATAGGCATATAGTAAAAACTTGAAAAATATTCTATGAAAAAACCCAAATAGCTAGAGTTTAGATATTAAGCATGAAACATCTTCTAGTAAGTGTCTACAAAGTTTGTTCAAATAAAAGCCCTGGGGTCAAACATGGCCCCGCCCCAGGGGTGTCATTGTTTTTAACTATATGTGTGTGGTAAAAACTTCTTTTAAAAAGCCCAATGAGCTAGAGCTTAGATGTTTAGCATGAAATATCTTCTTATGGATGTCTACCAAGTTTTTTCAAATAAAAGCCCTTGGGGGAAAATTGGCCCTGCCGAGGGGGGTAAGGAGGGGTGAGATCATTGTTTTTCATTACATGTGTGTAGTAAAAACTTAACATTGAGAAACATCTTCTAATGAGTGTCTTCCAAGTTTGTTCAAATAAAAGCCCTGGGGTTTAAACTGGCCCCGCTCCGGGGGGCCTATATACAGGTGAGCGACCTCAGGGCCATCATGGCCCTCTTGTTCATTTATAGCAAGTTGCCAAGAAGAGCTGGGAGTATCCTTTATTGTACAACTGGTATACTGTTGAAGATGTTGGAAGGCGATCCGTAAGTAATGATGAATTGAATTAGTAGTATAACTGTAATTACAGAATACAGGTGTTTGGTTACGATACTTTTAATATTTTCCATTTAATTTTTAATACACAGTTGATTTATTTACATTTTTTTCTACATTAATGAATAAAAGTTCTCAATGAACCAGTTGAGTGGTGGTTGGTTAGGTTGCAGGGAGTGAGGGAGTGGCATGGAGGGGGCTTAAAGGAGGATAGTAAGAGGTAGAGAGTTTAAAAGCAAAGCAGCACAACATATAAATATCTTTATGAACATATTTTGAAATTTTTTCCTAAAAATGGTGAATGGAACAGTCCAGATTGAAAGATGGACTTGTCCATTTCAGAAGAGTTAATGTTAATAACTTTGAACAACTAGCCTTTAACCTCATTGGGCAAGCATTTTTCTAGGTGCTAAGAATTTGTTCATGTGATGAAGCTATCAAACAATATTTCTTTAGGTCTGTGGTTCTACTAAGGTGCCATCTGATTTGTAGATAAGTGGCAGCATGGCGAAGTGGTTTATATGCGGCCTAGATATGTAAGGATCGTTTGCTGTCTGGGTTCAAACCTCATCCGGGGCAAGCAGTTGTTTTCCTTGACCTGGAAACTTTCCATTCATTGCTCAAGTGTGTGTTATAGCTTCCCACACAAGCTAAAACAAATTTGGTATTAACCAAATAAATGCAGGAAGATGCATTATGTGTTTTCTGTCATTAGTAAGATGGGATGATATCATTTGACCTTTTATCAAAATATATGAAAAATGTACATGATCAACAACTTCCCTTTAGAGAAGTTTTCTGTAATTCATATAAATTGAAACTAAATTGTTATTAGACTGGACAATTTCATGCACAAAAAGAGTATTAATTATAATGTTGTTGTATTAATTCTATTTCGTCTAGAACTATTTTCGGTATTAAATGAGATTGTGCTCCGCACATGCCCACCTGTGTGCTTCCGCCCTGTCGAATGACAGGCATTGACATTTTATTAGCGTTTAAAAATCGGGTCTTATCATAGATTAGAAACATAATTATTCAAGGATTAAAATAAATTTGTGTTCAGCAAACGTTTGCCACTCTGAAAGAGATTTGGAGTTTCCTTTACGCGAAAATGGTTGATATTGACATAAAATTGTGTTGCGTATAATACAGTAGGTTAGAACTAAGAGTCTGTTGCCATGTTTTAAGAAATAAAAATATGAGATCAAAAGTGATTAAAGTAGTGCACCAAGATGTACTTAAAGAAGTGTTAGCCTCTTTTAGCCCAGAATCATTTGACAGGTACATTAAGATTTTGTGATATTATCTGGTCATTTGACTATTGTTTTTAGAGATTATTGGATAGAACGACCCATGTCATTTTATCTGATCATGTGACTTTTGTTTTTTTTACAGATTATTGGAAAGGGCGACTCATGTGATATTAGATGAGATACACGAAAGAGATCTTTTGTCGGACTTTATTCTCATCATTATGAAGGATATTTTACAGAAACGACCGGAGCTCAAAGTTGTCCTTATGAGTGCCACTCTGAATGCTGAGGAATTCTCAAAATATTTCAGTGAGTTGAAACTGTTTCTCCTAGAAATACAGAAAAATCTGTTGACAATTTTGTTCAAAGTGGTATTATGTTCAGATTGTCATTGTTAAGTTGAGCTGAACTGACTAAATATTTCAAAAAGATTGACTGTTTTAATGGTGATTGACCGACAGTTGATATTAAAACATATTTATGATGAAATACCAAAATCTGCCTAAAATATAAAAAGACCGATTCACTCTTTTTATAAATTGAGCATTACAGATGAATTCAAAGGAATATTTTACAGAAATTTCCTTGGGTCAAGTGAGTTGTTTATAGTTCATGTGAAGTAAATTATGAAATTGAAAGGATTTATGGCAAAATGTAAACTTATTTTGACTTTCACCTTTTCACTCACTATATACCCTTGAATGGGCATGATGATGCCACTCTAAACATTATTCATATAAGCTGTATTGTAAAAAAAGTTTTTAGCCTATTTGAATGGTTCTATAGTCTGGTTTCTGGAACTAACCAATACTGGAGTCATATCAGTGAACCTGGTTGTGACCCAAATAGGACTCGAACCCACAATCACTTGGTTGATAGGTAGACATGTTTTTCACAAGGCGACCAAGTTGTTGATATTTTTTATTTAACTTTTGTATATATGCATGTTATGTAATTCAAAATGGATGGCCATTTGAGTTTTTATGCCCCCGGGCATATAGTAATTGAACCGTACAAGGTTAACCTAGAACGGCAAGTTGCCAAGTTATATAAATGTGCCATCCATTTTCCAGTAATTTCCCTTTTTATCACTTTGAAAATAGGGCCTTGTATGGTTAACCTGTTCCGCGAAGTTGGATTTATCAAAAAATTTCACCTAATTACTTAATTTATTTAATGATATCTTTCATATTTGGTAGGTGGATACCTTTAACGTTCCTCTAATTTTTTGTGGCGTTAGGCGTCTCTAGGTCAAAGTCAAGGTCACTTGTGTAAAAAAATAAATCTAAACAATTCTGCTCATACAGCCTTTATTGTTAAGTTAATGTCTTTCATGTTTATAATAGTCATACCAAGGGAGGTCCTCTTCCTTTTCCTTTAGTAAGGGGTCATTTGGGTCAAGGTCACCAATGTCAAAAATAGGTTTTTTACACTTTTACGGGTGTATTAACCTTATTCTATCGACAGATGTCTTGTATATTTTGTAGGAACATAAAATTGAGGTACAGTAAAGACTGTTTACAGTGACCTTTGATGGGGTCATTATAGACAGGGAGTCACTGTGGACAGTCTCTACATAATTCGGTTATATGAACATATCATACCAATATTTTGTTGAAAAGCAGGATAGTACCATACTAAGGGTTTAATTATATTTTTATTGATATTAAACATATCAAATATCATTTATAAAAAACAAGAGAATATTAAAATTGCATGTATTATTGGTTAAGATTATAAACTACACCATAACATTAGTATTTAAAAGTTACATATTCATTAAAATGTAATTTATATTGATAAATCTGTTTGTAAAAAAATGTTTAATTTCAATTTTACTAATGAGATGTTACTGTAGAGACATTTAATTTTGTATAATCAGCCTGTTTACTTTACGGAGTTCAATGTATTAATAAAACAAAAATAATTAAAAAAAATTACAAATCTTCACATAATTTCTACAGATAAGTGCTCCGAAAAAAATTAACAATCGAGGTTTCAAACATAACCACACCTTTAAGACGTTTGGCATTGTTTATCTTTACTTGCCAAAACACCGCAGCAATTATGTATATGCAGGTGTCTTCTATCGGCGAAAATTGATTGAATCTGTCGCCATTTTGTGTAATTGTCAACAAACAGCCACAGTGTATTAGCGTGTCGCCGATTGGTCAATGCAAACTGCCATAGATACAACGCGCGTTCTGATTCGTCAATCGCATGAATACGTAATGAGAAAGATAAACATAGTGAACTCTTGCCTTGCGGCGTGTATTGAACTTTGTTGATGTTGACTTAATTAGCGGATTAACGGTTATTGGTTGTAATTGAGAGGTAAACAAATTATTAACAGACCTAGCGGCGTAAATAAGTATGACGGAAAATTATAAAAATCGGGCGACTTCAAAATCTCTTTGAAGTTTGTTTTAGGCAAAGTCGCTGATCCGAAGGCGACTTCTTCGCCAATGTCGTCACCTAGTTCAAGCCTTGCTCCCCTTGCAAAAGTCGCTGTTCACGGCTCAAATACCGTTACGGGTGACTAAATCATGGTCGTTGTACGGACTAGACAGGGAGTCGCTACATACAGACCATTTATATAGTAAATACTGTTCGGCGCACCTAACTATGGTCACTAAAGACAGAACATCGCTATATACAGGGGGTCGCTAAGACAGTCTTTACTGTATTCTCATTTGGATGGAGGTAGGGGTCAGTTGGGTCAAGGTCACCAGTGCTAAAAATAGATTTTTACACTTTTGCTCATACAGCCTTTATTTATTGACAGATTTGTATTATAATTGGTAGGAAGATAACTTACATGGTATTCTTCCTTTGGATGGAGTTAGGGGTCAGTTGGGTCAAGGTCAACAGTGCTAAAAATAGATTTTTACACTTTTGCCCATACAGCCTTTATATATTGACAGATTTATTTCATATTTGGTAGGAAAATAAGTTGCATGATATTCTTTCTTTGGATGGAGTTATGGGTCAGTTGGGTCAAGGTCTTCCATACAGATTAGCTACTTCACCCTCTAAAGTTAAATTATTGACAACAGTGAGCGCGGGGGCATTTGTGTTTATCAAACACAGATTCTTGTTCTTGATAGTGATTGTGATAAAAGTTGTGTCTTACAAATGAAGCCCACTATTTTGCTGATTAGTATAATAAAGGAAGAGGTTAAAGCTTTGATAAAAGTAGAAACTAGTCATTTGATATGAATATTTAACTATAAGAAGTATTTGTTGTAAACAGTGTGTTGTTTTCTTTTATAGATAACTGTCCAATGATACATGCCAAGGGATTTACATACCCAGTGAAAGAATATCTCCTTGAGGATGTGATTGAACTTCTTAGGTAAATGATATAATGATATTCGCCCCCCCCCCCCCCCCAAAAAAAACAAAAAAAAACATACAATAGAAATACAACAACAACAACAAAAACAACAAAAATACGTAATATTGATAACATTTTTTCCCAATTACCAATATGTAAGGATGTATCTGTAATACAACAGAATTATTTTTGTGATTCAGAAAAAGTTTTTAGATGTAAACAGTTATGAGAAATTTAAGTCTTAATCTTTCACATTTAATTAAGTTTGCTCATTTTAACCATGAATGCTTTACAGATATGAAGTGCCTGAAGAAATGTTAAGGACTTCAAAATATGAAAAAAGGAGGAGAAAAAAGTTAGGTGGAATTGAGATGATGGAGGAGGATATGAGGGAGGCGTGGCTTCGTAACCTTGACGACAGGTAATTTTTGTTATTTTAAATATGAGTATTAGGAGATACATTCAGCGCACTGCCTTGTTAGCTCAAATGATAGAGCATCAGGTTGGTGCAAGTCACTTTTGTTGTGATTGATCATGAAATCCTTTCTACTGTCATTTAAATCTTACCTTTGTTCTGGCATGTATAGAAATAACTAGAAGTTACTTGTGCAAATGAAGGCATTTAGTACTGGCAAATTTCTTGAAAGCTTGCCGAGGACCGTGCAGTTCAGATGAATTCAATATGGCTTACTGCAGTTATCCAATGGATAAACTATAATTCTAACACGACCCTCATTTTTCCTTATTGAACATAGAAGAACCAAAAGTGTGTATTATTATGCTATAAAATCACTGTTTGACGTTCTTTATTTAGAAATGTGACGTAATCGTTATACACGTGACGTAACAACTAAAAATGTGACGCGCTGACAATAAGTATGGAAACAAATCAGGCACAATCAGGGTTCTCACTAGGACTTTAAAACATGGAGTCCATGGACTCCCAACCCTGAAAAAGTTGGAGTCCAAAAGCGCGTAGCAATTAATATGTTTACAGATTAGTCATTCAATGCTCCCAATAGCATTGCTGATATTTTGAATCTTCAAGAGACTTCCAAAGTTTATAGTTATTCAAAAGAAACTCTGAACTACATAGTATAATTATTGTTTTGTTGTTGATATTTATTATGAAATTATTTCATTATAATGCATCAACACATGGAAATCGTTTTGTTTGTTTTTTCACTTTTATACCAAATCAAATTTTATTCTGGTTAAATAAGTCCACTCTAAAGACAAAAAGTTTATATTTGTAAAAAAAAACGTAAATGTATATAGGCAGCGTTTAGCGGAATGAATAGAAAAATCGTGTACAGCTTCAAACAGTGTGTAAGAGATTCATCCGATCGACGATTATTTTAGCAAATATCTTCAAAAGGGGGCAAATTGAAGATCGATATTTAAAGATTTAATGTAGATTAAATAATAAAGGAACAATTCATTTGCATGTTTGGCTTGGAAACCGAGAATTTTTGCGAAATTTTAGTGTTTCTGGCGAATGTGAAATCGCCGATGTTCGGGATCAATTTTTTGATAGAATCCAAATATCAAACTCAAAGAAAACAAAGCGTATGTGCTTTTGGTTTGTTGTCCTGGCATTTCGGCACAATATCTTAAATTCTTAAAAGTCTTATCGAAAGTTTTTGCAAGAATGAAACTAAAGCAAAATTGTGCCTAGAAAATGCCGAAAATATTCGACAATCATTCAAAATTACACACTCATTTGTAATTTGAGAAAACAGTCTTTAAACTTGCGGCGTAAATAGTTGATAATTTTATCCTTTTGTCGGTAAAATTTGCTAATTTCCAATCAACTGTTGATCAAAGATATAAAATTATCACCTCGTGTTATATCTGGTAATTACATGTACTGTACAGCGCGTGTATACATTAGTCTGATCACTATTGCGTGATAATGATCGTAAGCGTTATCGCTGATTGGCTAATCGCTTCACGGGTCGATGTGCATAGGACCGCCTACCTATAGATTGACACGCGCTGACGCATTTGTGTATTTGTGGTTGTAAACAATCAGTAATGTTTATGCGTCCCCGGGCAAAATTAAGCGTACGTGGAATCCTTGCTCTGAATTATTTGCGTCCAGCTGTAATAAACATGCGTACCGGGACGCCGAAATAAGCGTCCCCGAGAACCCTGCACAATATATCTTATTATCATGTACTGCAACATTTATTTGTTGATGTCGTGTTAAAATTGAAATAATATATCCAAAATCGGTGATTTTATTGCTTGATAACATCACTGTTCGTCGTTCGGATGCCCATCATTATATCACTCGGGCTACGCCCTCGTGATATAATTCCCCGCATCCAAACTCCAAACAGTGATGTTATTGAGCAATAAAATCACAGTTTGGGATATATTATTTCTTAAACAATCATCATACATTGTTTTTCGCTGAGAAATGAAGTAAAATTTTACACTTTGATTTTGAGGCATTTAACTTACTAGGAAAAAATTGTTTTCTGAGCAGTTCAGGTCTCTATGCCAGCCAGGTCTTTAGGTGAATCAATTGTTTTCAAAGATATGTAATTTATATAACTATGAATATCATTATTATTATTATTACTTTTATTGTCATTAAATGTAAATGACTTGTTACAGATGATCATTATATTATATATTGCAGGTACTCTAGGAGCACACGGGATGCATTGTTTGATATGGACATGACAAAAGTTGATCTAAAACTGATTAAGGAACTGATATGGGTTTTAATAACCTCAAAACCAGTAAGTTGAATCTCAATAAAGGCTAGCAGTCATAATTGTTAGTGTAAAGTCACTAATTGTTTAATTATAAAGTAAATTTTGAGTTAATTGAAAACTTTGAGAGTTTGGCTTTTGGATGTTGTACCTGTTGAATATGTCCATTGGACACAAAGGATTGCAATAAAGGTCATTTTTTACCCATTGTATTTACATGTATAGAAAAGGTTGATTATTTGCTAATCATTTCATGTCATTGTTCAATCATCAAAGAAAGTTGTTTTCAGTTGTGTTTTTACAATATTTTGTTTTTAATTATAAAAGAAATAATGTAAAACAGTAAAATATATCACTCTGTCATGTTATTTATCGCTAGTCTCTATCTATACAAAAGCAACTGCAATGTCATATGAACAAAATTAAAGGTTGCTCATTTCAAAAATTTTGTCTGCCACTGCTGCGAGCTTAAATATTGCAAGGATTTTTCAAGTTAAGAAGTTGCACAGCTAGCTTGCTTTAATTAAGTGGTTCTACATAATAATTAGTCAAAATCACCATGTACCTTTAAATAAACCTTAAAACTCAAACTTAAAAGAAATATGAGGTAATTGGGAATGATGTCAATTATAATGTAAATTAGAGAAGGTTTTTTGTTGTTGTTGTTGTTTTTTTTTTTTTTGGGGGGGGGGGGGGTGTATGAATAAGCATTTTTATTGCCATTCAGAATAAAGTCTATTTAGAGGACCCATCTGTTGAAGGAAGGCCGAAAAACACTGTTTCTAGACAGTGATTTTTCACTGCATTTTACAGCCGAATAAAGGCTCTTTCCCTTAGCTTAAAATAGGTTTATTTTCCCCAAAAAAAGCAAATATTTTCCCCTAAAATACCTCGTGCTCTTCCTCACAAGAACAATGGCATAACAGCATCTGACTTATATCAGCTAAAATACAGAAAGCTGTCCCTGCTATGTACCATCCATGTTAAAGTGAATTTTAAAATGAAAATTTTATAAAACCAGGTTGGTAATTCATGTGTTATTTCCATTCTCAGTTGTTCGAATCATGGTTTCTGGTTTCCCCCTTTTCTGATTTATCTCGCAAATTTTCCCTTAAAAAAGCCACAGGTTATTTTGAAAATTGGTAAAAAAATCACTGCTAGATATAAAAATAATTAGTGTACTTTACTAGTTGCAAAATGGTCTGGCCAGATATCTGTGTAAATTAAGATACACTTAATTTAACTCTGATAAGTCCAATACAAACCACACAAGGGTGAAAAAGTATTAGAACTTTTTCTTTATTATCATATGACTCTTGTATTTTCAGGATGGAGCAATTCTTGTTTTTGTACCAGGCATGTCTCATATTAAAGATCTTCATGACTTGTTATCAAAAGACCAGTCCTTTAGATCTGGTAAGTATAACTCTATTTTTATACCCATGCCATAAAATATTTGGAGACATATTATAACAACCTTGCCTGTGTGTGTAGGTGTGTGCGCATGTTCATAAAATTATATATACTTTGTGTTTGGTCCATATCTTCTACATGCAAATGAGGTTGTTCACATGACCACCTCAGGTAGGCTCAAAATTCAAGGTCACAGCAGAGAATTGAACTATATTTCTCTCTTTTTTCAGTTCAGTATGGTCCATTTCTCAAAAAGGATTGATGGTATACATTTTCAATATCGAAATGTGACCACATATCAGAAAGACAAATGCAATGTTAAAATTAATTTTTGCAGAAAGTTTTGCCTCTTTTGACATTGATTATTTGCCTGGGTTAACCTTTTTGTTAAAGTTCATTTATCAATTCAATAACTTACAAAAGTATTCCCTTCAAACTTGGAATATTGTTTATTACTAAAATTGAAATGCATTTAAAATGGGCAGGTAACTTTATAATATTTTTTTGCCCGGTTATGCCTCTTTTACGACTTCCTAGCAGCCCTTACACAATGTTTTATAAATTATGCAGCTTTAGTCAAAAAATGGCAACCTTATTAAATATGATAGTGTTGTTTTATTTTGTTGTAATTTTGAGATTTTTTTTTCTCAAAGTAACAGAGGGAGGGATTTGATAATTTATTGTAATGAACATTTGGTAGATATAAAAAAAGCATGGAAATAAAAACATCAATAAATATACTAAATATTTCAGCTGGTTGTAATGTAATAGGGTTACATTCAATGTTACCAACTATGAGAGAAGTGTTCCAAAAATCTCCGGAGGGCACGAGAAAAATTGTCATAGCAACAAATATTGCAGAAACAAGGTATATCCTAAGCGCTGTTTGTTTTTAACTTTCAAAATTTTAACTTATGTTTTAGACTTGTTACTTGCTTGTTAAGTAGAGAGTGTAATAGGTTTAGGAACAGAATTTGTGTTCTGGGCGTGGAACTTGTTTTCATTTGGATTCATGTGAAGTTTATTGTGGGGAAAAAAAGCTGTAGTTTTTTTTTTAACTGACTTCTAAAAAATGCTTGCTAGTATAACATGTATAAATGGAATACCACCATAGATTGGCCTTAAGGACGTAAGAATTTTTTTAAACTTGGCATGTTGTTAGAATATGAAAACAGAAATATTTCAAGTGAAAAAAATTGTGGGTGGGAGGTTTGGGTCACCATTCTCGTTAATTTTGCTTGAAATATTTCTGTCATCATATTCAAACACCCTGCCAAGTTTAAAGAAATTCTATTGAACAGTTTAAATGTCTATATGGAACCTTCCAAAAGCGTCCTTAAAGATGTGGAACTTATAATTTAATATCATTCAGTCTGTTCTATTTCAGCACACAAAAAATTGTAACTGTACTAGTAATAGTTATTGCTTAAGATAAGTAAAGTAAAATTAATTTAATTTACCGGTAGCTACTAGTAAACAGTAATAGAGAAGAATCAGGGGATATGTGTGGTTATTTTGTGACAACTAGTTGTGTTAGAAGTCACAAGTAGAGGTCTACCAATCCAGCAATTATAAAGTGTAGCATTGGCCACAATATACTCTGTAGACATTTAACTGATCTGTCACACATTAATACTGATTACAATATAGAATGTCCTACATTTTACAGTTATATCTTCATACATCTAAGTTAGACTAATTTTCAAGTTGAGCATATTTTCCTATTTCATGTCTACAAATTAAAAAAAAATTTTCATGTTCGATCAAGTTTGTGACACTCAACATTAGCCAAAATCGTCACTCCTGTTTTGGGACCTAAGTTGTGTTGGTGTTCAGTGAAACCAAACAAACAAATAAAGTCATTCATATCATGAAGGTTTTTTTTTTCACTAACAGTATAACAATAGATGATGTAGTGTATGTGATAGATTGTGGACAAACCAAAATAACTGGATTTACGCCAGAAAATGATCTCGCCACACTTCACAACGTGCTTGTCTCCCGTGCAAACTCCAAACAGAGACGTGGAAGAGCTGGAAGGTAACTTATTAAGTTATTTTTTGATTACTTTAAGACTAACCTGTTTGAAGAATTGGTTTGAATGATCATCCTTTTGTAATAGGCAGTCTTTTAAAATTGTAAATTTTTCGCTGTAATCATAAAAAAAGAAATAAGCTGGTGATTAAGCCTTAAGGAAAAGTGTAAAAAAGAGTAATTTAGGATTTGATAATATTTAAAGGGTGCAGCCAGGTGAATGTTACCATTTGTATACAAGTCTACATGAATCATTGATGGTAGATCAACATCCACCTGAAATATTGAGAACTAGACTGGAAGAGTTATGTCTACGTGTAAAAGTAAGTATCAGTCATGTTATATAAAAACAAACCAACAAGAAATGTGCTTTCATTTTCAAAATGTTAGATGAACCATTAAAATTTGTGTTAAATTCATGTATGAAACTAAACATTAATGGCAGGTTGAAATGACTTTTAGGCAAATACAAAGCATGCTTGAGTAAATTGCTTGTATGCGTGTTTTTAGGTTGTTGTTTTTTAAAAATTGGTGATATTGCATAGTTGTGAATCTAATTTTCAATTTTACATTTTCTTGTTTTTATTTTTAATATTTGATAAAAAGATAGAATACAGACATATCGGTTAATTGCTCTACCAAGATACCGGTACATGTTACATTTTTAATATCCTTAATGTTTTCCAGTGTTTAAATCTTGGGAAAGTAATGCCGTTTGTGAAGAAAGCTATGCAACCTCCATCTGCTGAGGCTATAGAATCTGCCATTGTGAAGCTACAAGATCTGGTAAATACATCAGTTGGATTTTTTAATTAATTTAAAAAAAAATGACATTTATCATATCTTATTTTACATTTATAAATGTACAGTGCAAAACCTGCATATCAACCTTTGTTTTGGGACAAAGATTTTGGTTGTTGGCATGTTGAAATTAATTAAAACTAAAGATCACCACCATGTCATGATGTACACAGTTGCTACCTTCAAGGTCAAGGTCAAACATAGATGTCAAATGTTCTGATCTGTAACTTTTTACTTTTTTGGAATGTTTGAAATAACTTGGACCAATTAATCACCATCATGACAAGATCTGTAGAGTGCAACTGCTAAATTTTATTCCTCAGTTCAAGGTTGATCTAAGGTTAAATATACACATTCGTGTTTGTTATGGCAGGGGATATAGCTGATCTTCAAACTGCTTTGTTCTTATTATTGTGCCCACCATATCTTCAAACTTAGCTTAGTGGGCAAATTAAGCTCTTTGACCAGAAAAATCAACCATTTTATAATGGTAAAAAAATAAATGTTGAAAAAAACTTGAGACTACCTATGCATAAATGTTTTTGTTTTTTTCAACAGAATGCGTTGGACAAAGATGAGAACCTTTTGCCACTTGGTAGACATCTGGCACAGATTCCATTAGACCCTCACACAGGCAAGATGATCCTGTTTGGGGCGATATTTGGATGCCTTGATCCTATACTATCTATTGCAGCCTGTCTTAGTTTCAAAGATCCTTTTGTTACTCCATTGGTAAGTTCTGACTTTGGTTAGTTCTGACATTGGTAAGTTCTGACATTGGTAGTTCTGACATTGGTAAGTTCTGACATTGATAAGTTCTGACATTGGTTGTTCTGACACTGGTTAGTTCTGACATTTGTAAGTTCTGACTAAGAATTCTTTATTTGGAAGAAGCTTTTTATCAAGCATTCACAAGGATAGTGGTTGTTATGTGGTGCTCTCATTCTCATTCACACAAAGGTGTCTATGAGGTCTATAATGATGTATGAAGTTGGTAATATAGACATATTGGTGGGGCATTTAACCAGTTAGAAAGAGTAATTTGTTAAGTTTAGGTACATTTTTAGCACCACTATTTGAAAAAAGGGAGAGCCATTGTGCTCACCTAGGTGTTGGCATATATGTCGCACTTATGTTAAGGTTGATATCTTCAAACTAATGAAATAAAAGGGGTGAAACTTCAAAACTTTAAAAAAAGATGTTATTAATTCTAAAACTGCTGGGGTTGCAAGTTCATTAGGTAAGCTGCCAAGCTGAAATAAGCTGTTATAGAGTGCTAAATAAGCCAAATGTACAAATATTTTATCTAGATTTTAAAAGTGTTCTTTAATTGGTGAAATTATTTTAAAAGCTACAATATATATGTAATTGTTTTGTTTTGTAGGGCAAGGAAAAGTTAGGTGACATGGCAAAGTTAGAAATGTCTGCTGGATCGTTGAGTGATCATATATTATTGGTGAATGCCCTCCAGACTTGGAAAAGAGCAAGAAGTCGTGGCACTGAACATAGTCTCTGCTGGAAGAATTTCATGTCAAATTCCACATTAATAGTAAATGATCTTATTTTATAATAACACATGTACTTCTTTACCATTTGAGAAGTTTTTTTTTTCAATTTGAGCAGCCATTTTAAATTATTTATACAAGGCACTAATTGATATACATGTATTAAGTTATTACACAGTGTCATTTTAAATAATTAATTAACAGGTTAGAAACATCAGATGTCTTACACTCTTGAAAATAACCTAAAATTTGTGAAGAAAATATGTGTCAAGAAGTTGTTCTAATACACTTCTTAAATTCTGTTTGTGAGTCCTATATGTTTATGAGTGATGTATTGATGGACAGAAAAAGGTGCTTGTGCTCACAGTATACCATACACATTGAAGCTTTTAGAATCACAATTAATTGCAATTAACAATACAGTGAATTTATTTCTGCACTGTTTAAAATAAATGTATTGACAACAATCACATAGGCAATGAAATTTTTATGAAAGTAACATTACATGATTTATTATATACTTACCAATAAAATATTGAGAAATATTGATGAAATAAAATGAGTATTTTCATTTTCCAAATTTTCACTGTAAGAAATTATTTTTCACTGGTGTCTTGCCGGACTGCTTTCTTCTAAATTCTGCCAAAATTTAAAGGAAATTCAAATTGTAATGTCAAAAAAAAGTATGTAATGAACAGAAAATTCAATTTTTGGCCAGGTTGCACTGGTGCAAACCCGGGTTATAGTATGGTGAATGTTGGGCGGCGGCGGGGCAAAAACTTTCGTAACAGTTTTCTCAGCAACTACTTATCACAGCCTTTTAATATTTGGTATACAGCATCAACACATGGTCCCATACTGTGGGATTCGATTTCAGGTCTGTCGCTCATCTACTTCCTGTTTGCTGACCTAGTTAAATTTTCAACATTAATGGTCAATAGCAGGAAATTTTCGTAACAGTTTTCTCAGCAACTACTTATCACAGCCTTTTGATATTTGGTATACAGCATCAACACATGGTCCCATACTGTGGGATTCGATTTCAGGTCTGTCGCTCATCTACTTCCTGTTTGCTGACCTAGTTAAATTTTCAACATTAATGGTCAATAGCAGGAAATTTTCGTAACAGTTTTCTCAGCAACTACTTATCACAGCCTTTTGATATTTGGTATACAGCATCAACACATGGTCCCATACTGTGGGATTCGATTTCAGGTCTGTCGCTCATCTACTTCCTGTTTGCCGACTTAGTTAAATTTTGACATAATTAATGATCAATAGATAGTAGAAAATTTTCGTAACAGTTTTCTCAGCAACTACTTATCACAGCATTTTGATATTTTGCGTACAATATTGAGACATGGTCCCATATTGTGGGATTCCATTTCAGGTCTGATGCTCATTACCAACTAAGTTAAATTTTCAACATCAATGGTCAAGACAGTGGTAGAAAATTTAAGTAACATCACAGCCTCATGATATTTTGTATACATATGCAACCCGGCCTTTTCTGTCTTTGACCCATTTTTGGCCGGGTTGCACTTGGTGCAAACCCGGGTTATAGTATGGTGAATGTTGGGCGGCGTCCGGGCGGGCGGGGGGGGGGAAAACTTTCGTAACAGTTTTCTCAGCAACTACTTATCACAGCCTTTTGATATTTGGTATACAGCATCAACTCATGGTCACATACTGTGGGATCCGATTTCAGGTTGGTCACTCATCTACTTCCTGTTTGTTGACCTAGTTAAATTTTCAACATTAATGGTCAATAGCAGGAAATTTTTGTAACAGTTTTCTCAGCAACTACTTATCACAGCCTTTTGATATTTTGGTATTCAGCATCAACACATGGTCCCATACTGTGGGATTCGCTTTCAGGTCTGTCGATCATCTACTTCCTGTTTGCTGACCTAGTTAAATTTTCAACATTAATGGTCAATAGCAGGAAATTTTTGTAACAGTTTTCTCAGCAACTACTTATCACAGCCTTTTGATATTTGGTATACAGCATCAACACATGGTCCCATACTGTGGGATTCGATTTTAGGTCGGTCACTCATCTACTTCCTGTTTGCTGACCTAGTTAAACTTTCAACATTAATGGTCAATAGCAGGAAATTTTTGTAACAGTTTTCTCAGCAACTACTTATTACAGCCTTTTGATATTTGGTATACAGCATCAACACATGGTCCCATACTGTGGGATTTGATTTCAGGTCTGTCGCTCATCTACTTCCTGTTTGCTGACCTAGTTAAATTTTCAACATTAATGTTCAATAGCAGGAAATTTACGTAACAGTTTTCTCAGCAACTTCTTATCACAGCCTTTTGATATTTGGTATATAGCATCAACACATGAACTTATATCGTGGGATTTGATTTCAGGTCTGTCGCTCATCCACTTCCTGTTTGCTGACTAAGTTAAATTTTCTACATTTATGGTCAATGGTAGGAAATTTTCGTAACAGTTTTCTTGGCAACTACTTATCACAGCCTTTTGATATTTTGTATACAGCATTATCACATGGTCCCATACTGTGGGATTTGATTTCAGGTCTGTTGCTCATCCACTTCCTGTTTGCCGACTTAGTTAAATTTTGACATAATTAATGATTTATAGATAGTAGGAAATTTTCGTAACAGTTTTCTCAGCAACTACTTACCACAGCTTCTTGATATGTGGTTCACAGCATTGACATGTGGTCCCATATTGTGGGATTCCATTTCAGGTCTGATGCTCATTACCAACTAAGTTAAATTTTCAACATCAATGGTCAAGACAGTGGTAGAAAATTTAAGTAACATCACAGCCTCATGATATTTTGTATACATATGCAACCCGGCCTTTTCTGTCTTTGACCCATTTTTTTTTCTATAAATACAGGATATACTTCCATCATGTGGTATGAAAATTGTCATATTTCACTTGTGGCTACCACCACTCGTGAAATATTTATTTTCATACCACTCGATGAAAGTAAATCCTGTATTTTGAGAGAAAAACTTGAATATCCTCATTTTAATTGCAGTCACTAGACAAGATGAGGAATCAACTTGCTGGACTATTGTGTGATCTCGGATTTATAACGTCCAAAGATCCATCACAGAGTGCCGCCAATCGGAATTCTGGTATGGTAATATATATATAAGTGTAAATTAATGATTCTTTGTTCTTCCTTAGTGAATCAAGCAATAATAAATTCTTTATAAACTAAAACATACTTATGACTCATACTTGTGATTCCTATTTAACTATGCTTTTGATATTTCATTTAGTTCTATTATTACAATATTTTAGTTAAAATGCAGTTTAAGATAAAGAATCTTTATGATTTATTGTTATTATAAGCTATTATAAAAAAGCAACAAATTTTAAACTATTACTTAAGTATAGGTTTATCATTATTTTGTAGGCAATACAGCTCTTGTAAAAGCTATAGTGAGTGCTGGACTTTATCCTAATGTAGCAAAAATAAAAAGTTTACCAACTAAATACAGGTATATAAAAGTTTGGTTTTTTTTGTTGAGATCTTCTTAACTCATTTTCCTCTTGTTTGAGGATTTCTGATTGTCTGATTCCAGTTGTATACTGTTATCAATGATTTCTTCTTCAAACAATATTTTCCCTTCCTCTGGGTAGATTTTGACCAAATTTCACTGCATGGATTTATCCTTAGGTGGTCCTCTAGAAACATACCATTGGCTTGGATGGGATCCATAAATAGGCTATAGAAGCTTAAAGTTAAATTAATTCTTTATCTTATCACAAACTAGAATGCCAGTGCAGAGCATGGAAGTTGTGACTCAGGGGTTGCTATTACGACCCACGGTGAAAATAAAATTTCAATCAATCTTTGATATTGAGTCTTGTGGTCTCTTGTCTTACTGCTGATTCAGAAATCATGTGGGATACGTAAGTCGGTTACTATTGGAGAAATTGGTAATTATAGTAGAAATTGGTAGTTATCCAGGAAAGCCAGTTAGGTGGAACAACTGTTGAGATATGACCAAAGAAATGGTAAGCCAAGAGCTTAGATATTTGATATCATTGCCATGTGGTCCCTTAGGAGGTCATATAGATAATGCCACTGGGATCAAAACTGGACCCACCCTTGAGTAACTTATACACAGAAGTAAGCTTTTAAAATTTTTCCCCTACAAAAGTAAAAGGCTCTGAGCCTATATTTTGTTTGCATAGTACATGGATGCCCTAATGGTCATCATGCCTCTGGGGTAAAAAACGGTCCAGCTGTGTGGGATACATCTTTTACATATGAGTTGGAAACGACAAAACCAACGTAATGGGTTTGCGACCAGCATGGATCCAGACCAGCCTGCGCATCCGTGCAGTCTGATCAGGATCCATGCTGTTGGCTATCAGTTTCTCTACTTGTAATAGGGTTTGTAAGCGAACAGCATGGATCCTGATCAGACTGCGAGGATGCACAGGCTGGTCTGGATCCATGCTGATCGCAAACGCACTATGTTGGCTTCGTTATGATGCAGCTCATATACTTTTATATTAAAAAAAACAACAAACATGCATTAACACAAGCAGCTGTTTTATTTACTGCAACTGTGACAGATCAAAGTCAAGTTCATACTTGAAGGTCAAACGTTTAAACGTTCATTTTTCATGCCAAACTTTCACTTATTGATTAAATCTTTAAATATCCATTTTATACCTCACTATTTTTCCTACTATTGAACTATAATTCTCTTATGAACTGCCTTGTTAAATAATGATATTAATGGTTCTTTATGAACAAGTGTCAGTTAATTAATAAATTCCTTGTTGGCCGGGTTGCACTGGTGCAAATCTGGGTTATAGTATGGTGAATGTCAGGCAGCGGGCGGGAAGACAGGCCGGCTAGAAAAATATTTTTGTAACAGTTTTCTCAACAACTACTAATCACAGCCCCTTGATATTTGGCATACAGCATCGAAACATGGTCCCATACGGTGGGATTCGATTTCAGGTGTGCAGCTCATCCACTTTCTGTTTACCTACTTAGTTAAATTTTTTACATTAATGGTGAATGGTAGGAAATTTTCGTAACAGTTTTCTCAGCAACTACTTATCACAGCCTCTTGATATTTAGCATACAGCATTGACACATGGTTTCATACGGTGGGATTCAATTTCAGGTGTGTAGCTCATCCACTTCCTGTTTACCCACTTAGTTAAATTTTCGACATTAATAGTGAATGGTAGGAAATTTTCGTAACAGTTTTCTCAGCAACTACTTATCACAGCCTCTTGATATTTAGCATACAGCATTGACACATGGTCCCATACTGTGGGTTACGATTTCAGGCATGTAGCTCATCCAATTCCTGTTTACCCACTTAGTTAAATTTTCGACATTAATAGTGAATGGTAGGAAATTTTCGTAACAGTTTTCTCAGCAACTACATATCACAGCCTCTTGATATTTGGCATACAACATTGACACATGGTCCTATACCATGGGATTCGAATTCAGGTCTGTCGCTCATTCACTTCCTGTTTACCTACTTAGTTAAATTTTCGACATTAATAGTGAATGGTAGGAAATTTTCGTAACAGTTTTCTCAGCAACTACTTATCACAGCCTCTTGATATTTAGCATACAGCATTGACACAATGGTCCCATACGGTTGGATTCGATTTCAGGTGTGTAGCTCATCCACTTCCTATTTACTTCCTTAGTTAAATTTTCAACATTAGTAGTCAATGGCAGAAAATTTTCGTAACTGTTTTCTCTGCAACTACTTATCACAGCCTCTTGTTATTTGGCATATAGCATTGACACATGGTCCCATACGGTGGGATTTGATTTCAAGTGTGTAGCTCTTCCACTTCCTGTTTACCAACTTAGTTAAATTTTCAACATTAATGGTCAATGGTAAATTTTTTTCATAATATCACAGCCTCATGATATTTGGTCTTCAAATGCAATCCGGCCTTTTCTGTCACTGACCCATTTTAAGCATTTCTGTTAAGGCATCCATTCACCAGTTAATCGGGGTTTGTCAACCATATGACTTGAATAAACATCAGTTGGATTCAGATAATGTTTATGTTTTAGACCTATATTCATTTATCAGTTAATCTGGGTTGTCAAGCATATGACCTTAAAAAGTTTGATTCAGATACTTGTTATGTTTCAGACCTATGAGGTTTTTAGTGAAGGATAACAGCAGATGTGAGCTACATCCTAAATCAGTTGTTAAGGATGTTAAATCTCCAGGTACCCAGTGGGTTGTCTTTCACAAGAAAATGAAAACTACATCTGTAAGTATAGCATAGAAAATATCAGCCATCATTAACTTTAAAATTTAACTGAAGTAATAAATTTTCATATAATGAGTAAATTTTTGTGCCCTCACTTTGGGTGCATTTAGATTTACCCTTGTCCGTGCGTCTGTTCTCTTTTGCGTTGCACATAACTCAAAAAGTATTTGACCTAGAGTCATGAAATTTTACAGGAATGTTGATCAGCATGTGTAGTTGTGCACCTGGGTATTTTCGTGTGGATTTATTTAGTATTTTTAGAGTTATTGTCCTTGACTTAGTAAAATTTTGCAATTTTCAACTTGTGTCGCATGTAACTCAAAAAGGATTTGACATAGAGCCATGAAACTTTACAGGAATGTGGATCAGCATGTGTAGTTGTGCACCTTGGTATTTTCATCTGGATTTATTTAGTATTTTTAGAGTTATTGCCCTTGACTTAGAATTTTTTTGCAATTTTCAACTTGTGTCGCATGTAACTCCAAAAAGGATTTGACATAGAGTCATGAAACCTTGCGGGAATGTTTCACAGCATATGTAGTTGTGCACCTTGGGTTTCGCTAATGGATTTATCCAGTATTTGTGGAGTTATTGCCCTTGACTTAGTACAAACTGTTTCATTATGTTGTGTTATTTGTTCCTTGAGTGCTTAGAGTTTGAATCAACCAACTTTACTGGAATAATGATCAACATCACAAAATTACAGGAATAATGATCAACATCACTGTGGAGCTATGCACCTGGGACTTTGCATGTAGATTTTTTTTCAGTTTTGTTAGGATTATTGCCCTTGACTTGCAGTACCGGTAGTATAAATTTGCAATTTTCAACTTGTTCATGCATAGCTCAAAAAGTATTTGACCTGAAAGTTTACAAGAATGTTGGTCAGCATGTGTACTTATGCACTTTGGGGTTTGCTGTGGATTTATTCAGTATTTGTAAAGTTATTGCCCTTTACTAAGTAAAAGATTTTTAGTTTTCAACATGTGGCACATGTAGTCAAAAAAATATTTGACCTAGAGTCATAAGATTGACAGAACAGTGGCATGTGGGGGCATCCGTGTCCTATTGACCCAGTGACACATTTCTAGTCAGTGATACATTTGTATCTTATATGATGTTTAATTTAATCTCGCAATATATTGTTTTCCATTTAGAACAATGAACTGTCCCAACTATAAAAATGTGATTGACTAAGGTATCAAATCGTAGTGTTTTCTTTAAGTTTATTTTCTTAAAAAAATAAACTTCCATTAATTTTGACAAGTTGTTTTTGATGAAAGACATTTAAAATATGAAGTAGGGAATATATCATAAGAATCAAACTGTGTACACAAAATGTATTTGTTGGCCCCTATTTACAACTTAAACCGCCAGATTCTTCCAAGTGAGAAGTTTCATCTGATTTTGTGATTTAAACAATTTTTATCCAATTAATTTGCTTTGTTAAAGATCTGCATGAGCCACTGGCTATCACCAACACTCCAGTAGCTATTACTCACACTCAATTGATAGCCAACACTCCATTGGCTATCAACCAAACTCTTCTGGTTATCACTCACACTCCACATGTTATCAATCTTACTCCACTGGCTATCACCCACACCCAAGCTATTTTCAACTGGCTATTAACTTCAATAGCTATCACCCATTCTCAGCTGGTTATCACTCATTCTCCACTGGCTATCACCCACACTCAATTAATAGCTAACATTTCATAGGCTATCAACCACACACATTCAACTAGTTATCATCACACTCAACTAGCTTATCAACTATTCTCAACTAGCTATCACCTATTCTCAACTAGCTATCACCTATTCTCAACCATCTATCACCTGTTCTCCACTGGCTATCACTAACATTCCATTAATAGCCAACAGTCCACTAGCTGTCAGCCACACTCCACTGGCTATTGCCCATTCCCTACTGGTTATTACCCATTATCCGTTGGTTATCACCCACACTCAATTGATACCCAGTACTCCACTGTCTATCAAACACTCTGCACTGGGTATCAACCACACTCCATTGACTTTTACAAACATTATCCACTGGTTATCACCCATTATCCACTGGCTATCACCCATTATCCACTGGTTATCACCCATTATCCACTGGTTATCACCCATTATCCACTGGTTATCACACACACTCAATTGATAGCCAACAATACACTAACAATAACCCACACTCCACTGGCTATCACCCACACTCCACTGGCTATCACCCACACTCCACTGGCTATCACACACCCTCCACTTGTTATTACTGAGCCTCTTCTAACTATCACCCAAACTCCACTAGCTATTACCCACACTACACTGGCTATTACCCACCCTCTTCTAGCTATCACCCAAACTCCACTAGCTATCACTCACATTTACTGGCTATTACCCACACTTCACTAGCTATATCACTGACACTACACTGGCTATTACCACACTACACTGGCTATTACCCACCCTCTTCTAACTATCACCCAAACTCCATTAGCTATTACCCACACTGCACTGGCTATTACCCACCCTCTTCTAACTATCACCCAAACTCCATTAGCTATTACCCACACTGCACTGGCTATTACCCACCCTCTTCTATCACCCAAACTCCACTAGCTATTACCAACACTACACTGGCTATCACTCACACTCCACAGGCTATTACCCACACTCCACTGGGTATGTAACAACAGGTGTTACTATTGACTGGTGCATTTATCTTATAATTTTGTCATTTTTTAGCTCACCTGTCACAAAGTGACAGGGTGAGCTTTTGTGATCGCTTTTCGTCCGGCGTCCGTCTGTCCGTTGTCCGTTGTCCGTCCGTAAACTTTTACTTTAAATGACATCTCCTCATAAACCACTAAGCCAATTTCATCCAAACTTCACAGGAATGTTCCTTTGGTGGTCACCTTTAAAAATTGTTCAAAGAATTTAATTCCATGCAGAACTCTGGTTGCCATGTCAACCGAAAGAAAAAACTTTAAATATCTTCTTTTAAAAAATCCTAAGAGCTAGAGCTTAGATATTTGGCATGAAACATCTTCTAGTGAGTGTCTACCAAGTTTGTTCAAATTAAATCCCTTGGGTCAAAATTGGCCCCGCCCCGGGGGTCATTGTTTTTCCCTATATGTATATAGTAAAAAGTGAAAAAATCATCTTTTAAAGAACCCAAAGAGCTAGAGCTAAGATATTTAGCATGAAACATTTTCTAATGGGTGTCTACCAAGTTTGTTCAAATAAAAGCCCTAGGGTCAAAATTGGCCCCGCCCCGGGGGGTCATTGATTTTCCCTATATGCATATAGTAAAAACTTAAAAAATCTTCTTGTAAAGAACTCAAAGAGCCAGAGCTAAGATATTTAGCATGAAACATGTTCTAATGGGTGTCTACCAAGTTTGTTCAAATTAAAGCCCTTGGGTCAAAATTGGCCCCGCCCCGGGGGTCATTGATTTTTCTTATATGTGTATAGCAAAACTTAAAAAAGCTTCTTTGAAAAAACCCAAATAGCTAGAGTTTAGATATGAGGCATGAAACATTTTCTAGTGAGTGTCTACAAAGTTTGTTCAAATAAAAGCCTTTGGGTAAAATTAGCCCCACCCTAGGGGGGTTATTGATTTTCCCTATTTGCATATAGTAAAAATTTAAAAAATCTTCTTTGAAAAAAACCCAAATAGCTAGAGTTTAGATATTGAGCATGAAACATTTTCTAGTAAGTGTCTACAAAGTTTGTTTGAATAAAAGCCCTGGGGTCAAAACTGGCCCCGCCCCAGGGGTGTCATTGTTTTTAACTATATGTGTATAGTAAAAACTTAAAAATCTTCTTTTAAAAAACCCAATGAGCTAGAGCTTAGATGATTAGCATGAAATATTTTCTTATGGATATCTACCAAGTTTGTTCAAATAAAAACCCTCTGGCGAAAATTGGCTCTGCCAGGGGAGGGGGGAGGAGAGATCATTGTTTTTCATTATATGTGTGTAGTAAAAACTTAACATTGTGAAATAAAAACTTAACATTGTGAAACATCTTCTAATGAGTGTCTTCCAAGTTTGTTCAAATAAAAGCCCTGTGGTTTAAACTGGCCCTGCTCCGGGGGCCTATATACAGGTGAGCGACCTCAGGGCCATCATGGCCCTCTTGTTACACTTACCTTTTTTCTTTGAAATGTTATAAACAAAAAAAATTATGTGCTATTTTTTTTCATTTCAGGTGTTTCTATATGACTGTACATTAGTGTCCCCGTATTCTCTGTTGTTCTTCGGTGGAGATATAAAACATGTCTATGTATGTCAAGTCTACATTGTAGTTATTAATGTGTTATTGGTTTTAAGTCTCATTCATACAAAGATCTGCTGGCGACTTTCCAGTGTTTACTGTTGAATAATAACCCAACAATTTCATTCATGTATAACTTCAGGCATAAGTAGGCACCTTGGACCTACATTAATTTCTATGTGTTTGATATTTATGTGAATTGCATCTAGTACTGTGTAAGAAAATAGAAATAATGCTTATAACAAAACTTTATAATATTCTAGAATGTTAGATTCAAAGTTTTTTTTTGTACATTGTATTTTTTTTTCACAAAAATATTAGTGAATTTATTGTTACAGGACAACAATGAAGGAACAGTGTGTGTAGATGACTGGATCAGATTCAAAGCTTCATCTGATATTGTCAAACTTGTTATGGTATAATTATATCTGTATTTATGTATTTTTTTGTAAATTCGGAAGAGTTTTTTTTTGCTCCCCCAAAAGATTTTGGTGGAGCATTTAGTTGCTGGGTTGTCCGTCCGTCCATACGTACGTCCAAAATTTGTGTCTCCGGCCCATAACTTAGTTATTTGAAGTTGGATTTTACAACTCTTTCACAGATATGATCACCATATTGAGACGATGTGTTGTGCGCAACATTTGGGTTGTTACCTTGAAGGTCAAGGTCATAGCATGACCTTGCAGCAAAATGGTGTCCGGCCCTTAACTTCGTTATCTGAAGTCGGATTTTACAACTATTTCACAGAAATGATCACCATATTGAGACAATGTGTCGCGCGCAACATTTCGGTTGTTTTTACACTTTGAACTTTGTCTGTGACGTTACTCTGACACTACAAGAGGTATACATGTACCTTCCAGTGTCCAAATCGTATTCGGGGAGCATCACCCGGTTCAACCAGCTCTTGTTTAACTTATTCTTAACCTTGTGATGATATCACACTTTTTACTCTCATAATTTTTAACTGAATCAATAGAAATATATCTTTGAAACATAGAATTTTTATTTCAAGTTTTCAAAAATTTGTTCTTATTTCACCATCAAGTACTGACAAAAGTCAAGCATGCTGTCTTATAAGTATAAAGGGCTCTTAATTTAAAGCTGTTGGGTGGTTGCATGGCTTAGTGGTTAACATGTCGGACTAGTAATGTAAAAATTGGTGACAGCATAAGTTCAAACTTTGTCAGCAGCAAGCTGTTGTTTCCTTGAGCAAAAAACTTTACACTCGTTGCTTAGTACTGGTTGGTTCCAGGAATAGATTTGTGAGTGTGTCTATAAGCTTATAGCTTCTTACAAAATCAAACTAAAAACAATTCTACATATTAAACTAACTAAAAGCCATCTTGTTGATGAACTTGGCCGTATCTTCAGTGATTACACATTTCTCATTTTTGATAAAAAAAAAACTTGATGAATTTTTTGTATTGCAGGAATTAAGACATGAGCTGGACTGTGTACTAGACACATTGATAAGAGAAAGTGATGGCACTAATTTGGACCCGAGAACTAAACAAGGTGCCATTATCAAGGCAATTATAGACTTAGTGACCACGGAAGCTGCTGAAAATAATTTTGAAGAAGACCAGAGATGATAATTGGACTATAATAAGTTTGATATCAGATATCAGGTTTACTTTTCCATCTGACAAGTAACCAGTATGTCAGAAAGGACAGTAATAGGTCTATGGACTAAGGATTCAGGAGTTTGTTCAGTGTTTTTTCTCAAGCAGATTTGGTGTAGAACAGTATGTTAAATCGTTTTCTAACATGACCTGCATTTACAGCAGTATTCCTTTATTGATATCATGTTAGAATGGAAATAATACATTTGTGTATCCCAATTGGTGATTTTATCACTTGATTAATTCACTGTTTGTCGATCGGATGCGCATTATTATATCACTCTGGCTATGCCTTTGTGATATAATTCCTCCCATCCAAACTGTTTTGGATATAGTATTTCTTTATTATTTCTCCACCACTGCATCAAATATGTGGAAATGTCAGCTACTAGTGAATGCACTGGTTAGTTATGATAAAGATTATAGGAACTCTTTAAATGGTAACTGCCTGCTTGTAAAATGATTGGTAATAAAAAAACATTAGTCATGAAAATAGGTTATAATATTGATCAAATGTATATAAATGTTTGAGGGGGGGGGATTAGAACAGTTAATAATAGTGATTGTTTTTGTTAATGATTTGTTTTGAATAAAAAAATATGTTGAAGTAGTCCTTGTTGATATTTTGTTTTACCGATTATCCTATCAGATAAAGTGACATCTTGTCCGATTAGTTCAGTTCAGGTAAAGCACTAGGTCTTTGCATCTTGGACATTTGGGTTCAAAAGTTTAGTTTGTGATTATCTTGTTGTCATCAAATGTCTGAGGCAATTCATTTTCCGCTGCTTTTAATCCAATGTATAAGGTAAATATTGAGGGCGTCCCTGTTTATATCTGTCTGTCATTATTTGACTGGAGCATGTAAGTTATTAACCAAAAATTTTATAATGTGGTACATCTCCTAGGAAAAGTTGAATATCTGAGACCTATAACTCTCTTGAATTATTTTGGAATTTGGAACATCCATGGCCAAGTGGTTAGGTTGTTAACCTCAAACTACTTGCCCGTCACTACTGTGGGTTCGAATCTTGCAAGGGATTACCAAATCATTCATGTGAGTTAGCTATCCAACATCGGTGGTTCTACTTGGATCCCTGTTCATGCCTTAAATAATTTATGTAAAATCGGATCATATACCTCAAACTTGCCAACAACTTCCATGTTCAATTATTTCCTAGTTTGTTTTAATGTCTAATACTAAATTGTAACTTTCAATGTAATTACTCATTGTATTTCAGACCTTCCATTCTAAACCAATTAGCTTTAAATGTGAAAATATTTAATGTCATCTTAAAGCATGTCCCTATTTGTTTGACACTGCCCAATTTTGTGGGTTTTGTATCATTATTATGCTCTAAGTTAGGTATATAAACTAAGGTTGTATCATTTGGAGGTGATACTCAAAGACTTTGCTTGTTCAAATGTTCAATTTCTTTGGGGAAAAAAAAACCCAACCTTTTATTAATGGTTAACAGTCCAATTGTTATGCAACCGTCCTCATTTGTTTGTTTGTTTCATTTTACGCCTTTTTCCAACAGTATTTCAGTCATATAGGCGGGTAGTTTCCTAACCATCGTTCCTTGAGAGTTACATCAGTACTAGACTTCCTTCCTCCGCGCTAAACTACAACCGTCCTCAGATACTGAGCAGACACTGAAATGCCTAAACAGAGCAATATGGAAAAGTGTTGGGAGTCAAAACAATTAGGCAACTATACTAAGTAATGGGTTAGTTTTCTCAATACTCCAGGGATTTGAGTTTGCACCCTCTTGGATTTTTGTCTATACTTGTAGTAACAACACTAGCTGGTCTAGTGGATTTCTCTTTCTAATTGAATTTCATGGTGAACTTTGTAAAAAATACACTCAGTAAGGTTATATATATGATGCTATGGGCATTAAAGTCTTGCGGAAAAGAATGGTCTACAGACTCTTGATTCCAAATTGTGAAATTCTTTTAGTGGCAGTTGGAAAATTGTATCCCAGACTGCTGATAAAGATGAGGTTCTGAAGAATCATCAAGAAGTGACATAGTGGAGAAAGACCTTTGGTGCCCCTGCATTTTTTCAGGCACTGACCAACCATCGATATTCAATAAGCTAGCTGGAATACGTTCCTCATATGATTTCGAGACGTTTCGGCCCCAAGACGTATCGGCCCCAAACTACCCAAGACGTTTCGGCCCCGGACGTTTCGGCCCTTTACCAAATCGGCCCCAGAATAAGTACTGTATTTTAAACCTATATATTGATAGCATTTCAATAAAAAAAAATTTATATATATATTTAATCATTTTGTATAAAAACTAGATTATTGTAGTAGTAGGGGAAAAGTAAGCAATACAAACAGAACAGAACATAAACTTTATTTGAAAAAATATAATTACACAAACAAACTAATATTTTATTTGAATGATTAAGAAGCAAGACACAAAACAATACCGCCAATTAGCATAAAGTATAAACAGTTAATTAGTTACACTTACGTATAGTTTAATTAAGATCAAAAGAGAATGTTTTCTAAGGAAAAATTGTAAGTAACTTTCTTAATCCAGAAGTTTTAGTGGTTTGTTTTATAAGTAAGTAACCGGCCTTTATTGTTTGTTACACCTTTAAAAACATTAACGTATATCTAAATCGTTCAAGAGATCAAAAGATAATAAATAATTATTCAAAGAATTAAAGTTTCATAATTGTTATTTGTAATTCAATTTATTGTTGTTGATCAATCAAGCAATACACTATAGTGGGGCCGAAACGTCTCGCGGAAAAGGGCCGAAACGTCCAGGGGCCGATTTTTCGACTGGGGCCGATTTGGTTTGGGGCCGAAACGTCCTGTTTGCCCTCATATATGGGATATGTAACGGATCATAATTAGCAGGACATGTTGGAAGAGAGAAAATAAGAAACAAAAAAACTGAGAGAAAATTTATATTTATTGACAAAATGTAACATATAAATTTGCTCTATAAAAGCTGCATAATATGCTCAATTCAGAGTGGCAGTTATAAAACTATCATGTTTCCATGGATACTTCTTTATTCTTCAAAATAGTAGTAAGACCCCGTATTTATACTTCAAAAATGCCCTTTTTCCATTTAGGGTTTGTGTTTATGGTTTGAATCTTATGGGGGAAAAATGGTTTGGGTTTTCAGTCCTACCATTATTGGAGTGAAACTCCATTTTCATTTTTTTCTTTCTAAGTCTTATTCACTAAATTTTCTTACTAGAAAAGACAAAAATATCTGACGAAATTAAAAAAATATATAGAAAAAGAATGATTTAGCAGTTGCATATATTTTAATATGATTTAGAAAGCAAAATTGGTTAACATGACTATAGCACTCAAAATTAAATGGTTACATAACAATCCTTCATATTAATATGTACATGTACAGTCTTGAACAAAGGGTCATATGACCTCCAAGGTCAAGTTGATCAAAATGCCCAAATTTTCTTCTTTTTTTTTTGAGATATCCTCATAATGTCTGCTTGTTTTATTTGAAAGACATACACTAAACTTTGTTCTAGATAATAATAAATCCCAGCTTTATTTATAATTAAAATCTTTCGACCTTGGAGGTCAAACTAAGTTTGTCATAAATTACGGGGGGGCCATGAAAAATATTTTACATACATAACAAATTCATAAACATTTTTTTTTCAACAATCAACAGTCATTTTTACATCATTTTTTTGCTGCATATAGCATAACATATATGAGATTATCATCTTATATAAAAAGAAAGCATTTGTATATGAAAAAATGCATTATCGTATAATGAAAAAATATATATCTGATTTGAAATACATCTGATATAGGGATATATTTAAAATGTACCCTTAGCACTTTTATAGACTTTAAACCATCAGAAGATTATCACTGATTGGCTCTGTCTAATTCTAGAATTTCGTGAGAAAAGTTTTACTAATGACAGATGTATAAATCGAAAAATTCAGTTTCTATCAATTGCACTGGCCTTTATATACAAAAGCACACATAAAAAGAAAAACGAAACAAAAAAATTTCAACTGAATTAAAGAAACGGAAAACCCACATATAAACACTTATCATTTACACTAGTGGTTTTACACTTAAGATAAATCGAGATTCATAATAATAAACTATCATTTGTATTCAGTAAAAAAAAAACCCAAGACAAAAGGTATATAATCCATTCTGGAATCCTTTTTTAAATTTTTTCGTTCTTTTATCTGTAAACTTGAATAAGTGCTTAAATAAATATTCAAAAAATGTAGACAGGACGAAATATTTATATCAAATTTACAGTAAGCAATATACAAAAAGTAAAATTTTCGAATAAATCTAAAGATGTACAATTTTACATGAGAGACATAGAATATATTGCATAGAGAATAGAACAGGTTAGAACTTATCGTTTACACTGTTACACAGTAACCCATACAACCCATATGGAAGCACCATTGTGAATGAGATTTCAGTTTACACATATGCCAATATATTTTCGGCATATTTTTTACAAACACAAAGCTTGGCATTCTACATGATTTCAATGTGTTTTTTTATTTGTTCAAATGTCAAAATATTCAGCATGCATTCGAAATAGTTCAATGTCTTCAGTTTAAACACATTGAGACACGAATGACTGGCTGAAGTCCATAGTGATGAAATTTGAAAAATGACCTAGATATAATCTCTATTCAAAATGTTTTTGTTGGATTATTCCACTTTAACATAGAAGGGTGAGCCTGGGATATGTTCCTCTCCCCACTTGATGGCGAGCATGTAGTCCCCACGTTCTTTTACAAGATAAGTTATCTTATATGGCTGTCCGGGGAAGTGTTTTACGCACAGCTCCTCGCATGGGCCTTTAGTTCCAACCATTCCAATAAACAGCATATTGAATCCTGAAACATCAAGACAGAAAAACATATTTGAAATGGGTTTTTAACACAAGTGAAACCTTTTTCTGTGTAACATTAATTTCTTTGTCTTCAGTATGAAAATGAAGGAAATGATTAAAGTCGTACAGCAAATAAATGAGTAGAATAAAATTATACACCACTTTCTTCAACAGTTTTGATTATGCAAACAATTTTTTTGGTGTTCAATGTTTGGCCCTTTCTTACGAAAGGACATCCAAATCAAGTGGTACTGTTAATGAATGGTCTTTCACTTTGATCTCCAGGGATCCTCCCTTACTAGAATTTATGTCACATGGCCTTTTATAACTTGACATATAACTAGAACTAGCTGTATTTCTGATATTTTAAACACTACAGATAATAAATTACCTATGTATTATTCAAACTTATTCTTGATTCAAAGAAAGCATATACATTAAAATAGAAATACAGTCATACAGGCATTATCATAAAAATCTTGAGAAAAAGATCCCTCAGAAGCACAAATCAAAACAAAATTACATAAAAACTGCAGAATTCTGAATACAAATTTCATATTTACCAGCTTGTGACGTATCAACATTGAATGTACACTGTTTATTTCTATATCCCTTCTTTACGCCATTTCCGTCTACGGTTACCTTGGAAGCGTCTGATACAAATGGTGGGAAGGATGCAAATTTGCTCATTGAACTTGTCTTGGTTACAGTCTCTACGACAACAGATGCCTGCTCCTGGAAACCACTTGGTTTGCCTTGACCTAAAATATAATTAACATTTTTAATGGAAAATATAAAAAGTAATTTTGTACCCCGGTAATATATTGCGCCTTATTTTATCACAATGATTTTTGTTTATACATGTATCAGGACAAAGCTTTCCATTTAATTAATATGATTTCCCACTGGTGAATACAAGGGCATGCTAAATCTTATAAAATTGTCAATACATCATTTTTGTACAAATGAAAATGTAATTAATTTTGTGATATGTTATAAATGGATGAATCATTTTACAATATGTGACACACTTATTCACATGATTTCAATAAACAATCACTTTTGTTAGTGTATTAAAGTTATGAGAAACATTATCAAGTTTTGTAAAACATAAACAAACCTTCAATTCTGGCCTTGAACGGGCTGCCGGCAATGTTGGTTCCTGCATATTTAATAGTGATCATATAATCTCCTGGTGCTGTAGGGTTGTATGTGAACTCGTAGCCATCTTCCACTTCACGGCACTCAAGTTTGACCTTAGACGGACCTTCAACGGTCACTGACAATGCACCTGATCCAGCATTTACTGTGTTCACAATAAACTTGGCTGTCTGACCTGATAATAATAAAACATGGTTTGAATTCTAATGCTTTGTACAAAATTTTACAACTTCATCATTAAATCTTAACAATCATTTTTCAATGTCTGGATATGAAACATTTGTATAATTATAACAGAGGTATGATATTTTGATTTTATTCACACCTAATTGGCTTCCTTTTCCATTGCATTACATGTATTTTTCTCTTTTTTGTTTTTTTTTGTTAAATGTGGGTATATTTTTGTTTTGATAATGCATAATATAAATAATTATTGGCAGGTTTACCCATTCAACTCTCAAAGAAAAGATGCAAAACACTGTAACTTGCTAGTACTTTCCGTACAAAAGCACTCAAGATCTGCTACCAAATTACTTTATTACGTAAACAAATTTAAAGTTATCAACCATTACACTTCACAGAAACAATTCAAACCCTAGTCAAATGTACACTTTAAATACGGTCAATATGAAAAAATATGAACCACCAACACATTTATCACGTAAAATTTGATAATATTCGGTGAAAAACTGCTATGAGAAAATGTCTTTTATCTTGCAATCTTTCAGCAGCACTATATTTCAAGTGTTTCTGTATGCAATTTTAATGAGAAATCTATATCAAGCACACTTCCCTGCTCTTCTTAGACTTTAATCTAACGCTAAATTCTAGCTTATCAACTATAAGAAAATGCATAGATAATAATAATTGATTCCTTCCAGAGAAACGCATAAAATTTTCTTGGCAAAATTTGGAGCTTTTATTACCAATATAGTCGATTATTTTGTTATCATATTCATAATTTGGCACATGAAGATGTAAAAATCTAGTTTGAAAACATTCTGAACAAGTTTAATATCCTGCTCAAATGTTGGAAAAAAGAAAAGAAAAAAAAAATGGAAAATTTATGACAATGTATGGTACAACAATAACTACAGGTTAGATTTATACCTTTATTTTAAAAACAAAAAAAAAGAAAAGCTTTGAAGTACAAGATATCATCCATTCATACAAGACACATCATTAGATATTAAAATGTTATAACAGGGTAAAAAGCTGCATCAGAGGAAAATCTGTCTGTAGTTTCATTTAAAAAAATCCTTCCAAAGTACAAAAGATCTGTGCAATATTTGCCCTATTTTACACCTATTTTCAAACAGCAGTAGAATATTTTGTGAAGGAACAAGAATGGCCATGAGAATGAGATTGGACAAATTTTGTCAACAGAACGTTACATCCTGTAAAAGGCCAAGTTAAAGATTTAAAATTCTCTATTTTATTAAAAATGTCCTGGAAATTGATTTTATTTTGCAGTTTTTTTTCCAGCAATTTATTTACCAGATTCTATGAATGAATAGGTTTATTGTCTCGAAATTTTATATGTAAAATAATCTTATCAATTTTGAACTGGGAAAAAAAATCAAGACTGTGATTTAACCACATACAAAAACTTCAGCATCTTTCATTTTAGATTTTTTTTTATAAAATTTATATCTAAACCTACCAGTTTTTCCAGTTTTCAGTCCATCACCATAAGCCTGTACCATTCCTGGGTCAGCGTGCACTGTGCCAACCTGGATTCTGAATGGACTGTCGGGGATCTGGCAACCATCAAATGATATATATACTAAGTGGGGGCCATTTTCTCTTGGGATAAATCTTACAGCATATTCTCCTGAAAGTAGAAATGTTGTTGTTTTAAAACAGTTGAAAACACATCACAAAAAAATTTAAAACAAAGTTTGACTGCTTGTAAAAAGCACATAAAAGTACAGAAAAAAAAGAAGAAATATATATCAGTACAAATGTCAAGAGCATTTTATCTTAGTGTAAAATGGATACACTTTTTCCCTTAACTGACACGTCACTTTTTCATTTTCAGAACTGAGACTAAATTTTTAGATTAACATGGACCTTTCCTGTGTTTTTTTATGCAAATTGCAATTATTACTGAATTTCTACACTAGGGTAATACATATCGTCACTAGTTGACCTGATTCATGTAAAAGAACACATGGATTTGTTTGTGATTATGTTTGTTAGCAGCTGACCTTGCAATGAATAGAATTTTTTAAAGTTTTTACTGCTAAAATCTGTACATTACCTTCATCATAAATGTGGCAACATTAACCTGTCTACAGCAATGATTATAAGTAACAATTGCCTTTTGCCATAATTACAACAATATGATTTGAATTCTATGATTAAGCAATCCAGGTAAATAAGGTGTTCAATTTTCTTGATGATTTAAATGCAATTATATTTTTACCTTCATCAATTTCTTGTACCAAAGCATCATCCTCAGAGCCAGATGGTGTGATTATACGTGCCTGTAGCTTGCCCTTTGGTGCACCATTAAAGTTGACAACAAATGAGCATGGCTTGCCAATCTGTAAATATTACAGGAAAAACATTTTTTGAACTAAAATCTAAACTAAATACATCCTAGGTTGTAGCAGAGCAACATTTTCTTTTTAGTTTAACAACTGTTTTGTTCTGATATAAGGTAAGTAACAGTAAATGGTTATACTCAAAACATACACTGTATTATACAACTGCTCTTTTGTAACTTTTGTTTATAAAAATAACTTTTGTTTATAAAAAAATAACTTTTGTTTATAAAAGTAACTTTTGTTTTTAAAAATAACTTACAGCTAATCCCTTGCTCTGGAGAGCTTGTACAGAAACTTTCCTGGCATCTCCGATACTTGGTGTAATTGGTATACGGAAAGGAGACTCTGGGATGTGCTCATCATTGAACTTAATTGATACCATATACTCTCCTGAAATATTCATATTCAAATATATAATATACATGTAGATCTCATTATATTTCCTTTGAAATGAAAATAAAAAATATTATTTGATACAACATATTTATGACAGTTTTCTTAATCTCCACTTATTAAACAAGTAGTGCATGGTAACAAAACAAGTCATTCCTTAATTTAAAATGTTAATAATTTTTAAAAGGATCAAATTGCATTACAAAAATGTATTAATAAATTCATGAGAACATTATGTCTAATTTTTTGTTATTTTTTGCATGTAAATGTAATTTAAGATCTCGGTCACAATTACCTGGCTCTGTAACTTGGTATGTGACACCACATGATCCATCTTTCCTGTCCTCGAAATCCACCTCGGCCTTTGATGGACCTTCAACAGCGATAGATAGACCTCCTGCACCAGCTTCACGTGTGTAGATATTGAACTCATCTGTAGATAAATATATAACAATATCAATGAAATTCCTCGACATGAAAATAGAAAAGGTGTTAAATATGAAAAATATTAACATTAAAAAAGAGGTCTTTAATTTGAGGAAAATAATTTTTATTCATACTGAAAAACAGGAGGTTTTTAGCAATAACAATAGCAATAACATTCTCAATACGAAAATCACATCAAAAAGACAGTGTTTAATGTGGAAAATAAATTCAGAGTTCTGTAGCAATTAAATGCTATTAGCAATCCTTTTACTTAAAGATAATTTATTCTTCAAAAACAATGATAAAAACTTATAAACTTAAGCATTATGTAACTGATGAGATTTGGACCGAGGATGAAACAAATGTGTATAAACGTACTTGGCTGATTGACTTCTCCGCGCACCAGACCAAGTCCAGCGGCATGAACCTTGTGAGCACCTCCACCAGCGATGGGTCCTACAGTGAACTGGAAGGGACTGCCTGGGATGTGCATTTCCTTGTGTTTTACACTGACTGTATGAATACCCATCTCCTTGGGAACAAACTTGATGCTGTAGTGACAGTCATCCAAGCTGACCACATCACAAAGTTCCGTAATTCCTGATGGACTGGTTATAGAGGCAGACATGTCAAATGGACTGGTACCTACAAAATACAAAAACACAGTTAACTATGTGTTTCTAAATATTCATTTCATAAATTTCAAGGGACAATTAGAGAACAGACAAAAACATTTATATTCATAGCAGTAAAAAAGTGGGACAAATTTTCATAAAATTTGTGATACATAAAAACATATCTATCTCAAAGACACAAAATTGGAGTTCAATGAAGATATGTTATATCAAATGTACATCAAAATGTTCATATAGAAAAACCAAATTTAAGTTTACTACATGTTTATGTTTTTTTGTTGTTTTTTTTTTTACAAAAATCTTAGGTGTAAAATAACGAAAAATGAAATAAATAAACTGGATTGTACAATATAGAAGAAATATACATGCATTGAGAGGTAGGAAGAATAAGTATTTATACAACATCTGGTGTAGGGAAATCTGAAATGAACTGTTGGTTTTTGGGGTTAAAATAAGGCTTGGTTTTTCTTAATGGTAAATAATAAGGATTCCTACATCAGCAAGGTGATCATTCAAATAGGACTATGAGTTTTCAATTGGTGTTAAAAAAATCTTGAAAGTTTATAATAAATACTTTTATCAAAACTTGTTTACAAAAAACTTTGAAATCATTAAAGTTGAAATAAAACTTGTTAACACTTTATGTACAAAATGTATAAGAAAAAGGAAATTTAATAAATTTTACAAAATGCACACTTTCTTTTAATAAAATAATTCAAAATGGAACCCCTTTTCAATTTGATCACATTTTATTTTTGGTTTTCAACTTGGTCATTGAGATGGTAATAAACTGCTTGTTGTCATGGAAATTGTTGTCATGGGAACAAACATGTTTTGGGGTCAAACAGGTTCAACTGAGGTAAAGGTCAATTAATTGAGGTCAAGGTCATTACAAACCTTTTTGAGTTGTCTGGCTAACACTATATCCCATCATTCTCATAAGGAATGATGCTAAAAATAGAACAGTTACATATTTATCTTTAATATTACTCCCTTAAAGAAGGATTTATATGCCATTCTTCAAAATTACCAATAGCAAAATTACTAATAGCTTTTTTACTGCAACACACTTGTCTTTGCAGGCTATCAAGTTACAGTAATGTTACTTTGAAACTTTGAGAGCCTTTCAAAATCAAATTAGCTTCCAGTAAGCTTCCAGGAAAAGCAAGTAATTTCTATAACAAAACACATTTCTACAAATAAATCAGAGAAGTGCACAGGAATAGATAAGAGCTGTAGCAATAAACTATGTAAAATGTCAGACAATTTTTGTAAAACATATTGTTTGCCACAGCTCTTATGTGAAGCATATAAGAAATTTGCACTACAAAATAATTTCACTATACAACATCACTAAGCATAATATATATTTTCAAGGGTATAAAGCTATATATAATTATCTAATTAAACACTTTCATAAAATTTAAAAATGGAAAATTTTTGTTATTTCCATTATTTTTATTGTGGATTCTCGAAAGAATTTAACATTAAAAGTTTCTGTTGTATAACAACACATGAAAATTGTGCGTAAACAGAATAAAATGTTCCAGAGCAAAATATTATGCCAATATTTTAATAAGATTTTGTAACCATTTAGCAACGGTTTCCGGGAAGAGCCATTCACTCAAAAAGGAAATATATTAATATATTTCTTTCATAAAAGCATTTTGGTATTATTCTATATTTCAAAATTTAACCATTTTGTTAACTAAGGGCAGCAGAGATATAGCTTTATACACTTTAAGTAGATAATGATCATATGAATAAAGAATATGGTTTTAACAATTTGTTTCTAGGTCTACACCTTACAGCAATGAATCATGGACAAAGTGATAGAAAACCATTCATGACATTATAACAAAGAGGGCTTGGAATGCTTATATACAGCATTTAATGTTTTTTCTTTTCTTTTTTCTTTGCGCTTCAACCATCAATATAGCAAGATCCAAGATTGTCAAATATAAGTAATAGTAAAATAAATTAGTAAAAAGTTTTTGCAATATTTGCAAGAAGTGAAAATAGCATTTCGCACAACAAAATGTAGCATGATGAAACATTTTAATGTTTAACTTACAATTATTATTCCAATTCCAGCTGCATGCTTATATCAACACATGATAACATGTAGAAAATTATTACTTTAAATAAACAGAAAATTGACTTCTTGTCTTTATATAGGGGAGAGACAGAAAGAATCAAGTTTCAAATGTGTGGAATTGCTTCACAGTAAACTAACATGTCCAATATCTTTATAATATCTTTGATTTTCCAATGTTTAGTTCTAATTATCTCACATTTCTTCTGGGAATAATTACAAATTATATACTTCAATAGTTTAAAGTAAGGCTTTTATAGTTTCAAAACCTTGTAACTAACAAGATGTCTTTACAGCTTCTTGAATTAATAGAACATAACATGTATATGAAAATAATTGCTACATAAAGTTTAGTTTATCTTGGTTAATAATGTAATTTAAAAACACCATATAAGATTTTCAATGACAAAAAAAAAACCCTCACCAATATATTCCAGATACATAGAGTATAAATCACGAGGTAGAATGTCTTTAAACTTCATAATTGTTCCAATTAATGTCAATAATATACCACTAATTAACATCCAATTAAGTCAGTAACTATTTTCTTTTTTATATCTCTATCTCTATGTCATCTCTTTAAAGAGAATCCTTAATTAAAATTTTAGAAACAAAGAATCCAGTAATATATTTTCAAAAACCAAAAGTAACATAAAAAATTTAAAATCCAAACATAATTTTGCTCTAAAAATATCTCTGTTATCATTTTATTCCTATTAAAAATAGTGTGAATTTATATCTATATTTGATATCAAAGGATAAGAATAATTTTATTTTCTTGGCACATATTTCTCATATATTTTCCTACAGCTTGAACACCATTCATATCCTAACTGATATTTGACCTTATTTCTTATCAAAATTTATCCCCCATATCCTATCTTCAATATATTGACTAGCCTTTTTATATAGAATTACAAAAATTAAGCTAATTATCACAATCAAATCCATTGATGTAAAAATTTTAATATCTTCTCCTATAATTAATTAATTATTACAAGTTACTTTGGTGCAACTGGGCAGTAATTTCAGAAGTGAGAATTGAGTTGGAAATGTGGAGAAAAAAAAATGAGACCAGTCTGAAATTGGAACCCTGCCATTGGTCAAGTATAAAATTTGAATTTGAAGCAAGCAATCAGATTATTCATTTTTCAGACTGGTCCAACATACTTTATTCTATATCATAAATTACTGTTGAGTCATGAATATTAAAATAAATTTAATCTATGTTCTTCAGAAATAATTCAAAAGAGCAGCTTGTGAGAGAAAATCAAGTATATGGATAGTTAGCCTTGTTATTTCAAGAGATAAGCCTAGCGCCACTAATTTCTACTTGTAGCCATAAACTTTCCTGCTATATAAGGTATATTTACCTGGAATCTTAAGGCTAAGTTCGCACTCGCTACCGACATGACTGACATCGACTGCTTCCCTGTGTCTCATAATCCTCTCAATGACACGCTCCGATGGTTCCCCTCCAATCTTAACCTTGAATGGACTGCCTGTAAACAAATCAAATTACCATGGTAACAAACCGTTAATTAATTAAGGCAAGCCTGAATCTCAATCCTATAAAAGAATGTTAAGCTGCACCAAAATTAGCATTGGAGTATACATTTTAAGGTGCACGTAAATATATATAATTGTATCATTTTGCTGTTTGTTGTCTAAACTTTGGTTAAGCCTGAAATTGTTAAAGTTGGGTCTGATTGCAAAATAACTTTGGAGCAATCTTTAAAAGTTTCAGTTTGTTGAATCAAAAATGAATTTGCGAAATAAGCAAATATAAGTAGAGTATTATAAGCAACACTGATGTAAATAATTGTATGTTCAAGCCAGTAAGTCACAAATGTACTGTGTTGGATACTGTAAATAATCCAAAATCACTCATACATTATTATACAGTCCAGCTTTGCATGACTTGTTTATTAGATTTAAGTTATCTAACTGCAAGGACTGGCTTGCTGTCACTAAACTTGTGACATACCCTTATATCTGTTATTATCATTATTTTTTATTCTCTATTATTCTATTTCAGGAAGAAGAAAGAAACAATAAAAAAAACAAGAATTTCTTTTAAATTCCTTGCATGCACATTCTTCCATTCAATATATGAAATTTGACAAGGAAAAAAAAGGGAAATGCTTAAAATTCATATTTTTTTCTATTTTTTTGTTAAACTTTTTTCAAAATGCTTAAAAATTTATATTTTTCTTATATATTTCTCGACTTTTTTACAAAATGCTTATCTCTAGGTTTATCAATAGACAGATCTGTATTTTTATAGCAGGTGTAGGAAACATTATGTCTGTACCAGAGCTAAACCATCAGGTATGACATGATTTATTTCACATGATTTTCCATGCAACAAAAATTTTGTTTTGTCTGAGAAAACATAACATCCGAATACATAAATCAAACATTATTTCACTAATTTATTTATAAACAACAACCAGCAATACTAGAAAAATTAAAGTATTACAAAATGGTTTCTGCCTTATACTGTATTTTACTGCAAAATACATGTACTGTCTCATAAAAGTGGGAGTGAAAATCATTTTCCATAACACTAAATTTTATTTTCTCAATAATGAATATTTGATATTTATAAATAAGACAGGTATACTTTAGAAAAATGAAAAAATGATTTTCTGATCTGTTCCTTATGAATAAAACCTTTTTCCCAACCACCAAATTGCTTATTTTGTTTTCTTAATATTTTTGAGGGAGTTGTTTTTACAAGCAAAGAATAATCTTATCTATACTTGTCTTGTAAAGTGCAATGCTTAATTCTTGTACAAACACTAGATTGATTTTTACCTGGTACATGTTCATCGGCAAATTTGATATTGATGATATAAGTTCCAGGCTCGGTGGGTTTATATGTGACCCTGCATGTTCCGTCTTCATTATCGTGACATTCAATATCAGCCTTGCTGGGGCCTTCAATAGATAGACTGAGACCACCATATCCTGTAATAACACAAACAATAAGTCTACAATAACCTCTCAGCAACAGATTCTACCCTTGCAACCAGTGCAGACCAAAATCAGCCAGCTCATTTTAGTGTTGTTTGATCATGGTCTGCACTGTTCTCTATTCTTTCAGTATATCTTTATGAAATTAACTCATTACCTGAAAATATTGAAAGTTTAGCCTTCTGGTCACAAAATATTTAGCATGGTTATGGTAAAACAAACTGCTTATTTTAAACATATTTGCGACCATATGCTTAAAATTTCATGCTAACTAATACAATTTATTATAGTAACTCATACAGTTTCACATTCTGAGACTGTGTTTAATTCTTCCTTGATAAAAGTATTAAATAAAGTTAGTTCACAGCATATAAAATGATATTCTGAATATGTTCTACTAATTAGCAAGGGAGACTGACATGAATCTGTGTAAATTAGTTTCACATTGTGTTTAGCACTATACTGAATACCCATCAACATCATTCTGATTTCTTTCCTAATGTGTTCAAAGTTTACAAAAATAAGGCAACCTTTTAGCACAGAAAGGTGCAAAAAACTTATCAGACATTTCAAACTGTTCATATTTTGGAAAATATTTTACCTGCTTCTCTGGTGTCAACAATGAACTCATTGATCTCATTGGCCATTCCTTCCTCGAGACCCTTGCCATAGACCTTGACCTTGCCAGCGTTACCAAGCTCAGTCTCACCAACCATGATGGTAAATGGACTGTTGGCAATGTGTTGACCATTTCTGTATACATTAACCAAGTGTTCACCTGTCTCTCTTGGTGTGAAAGAGATTCCTGTAATAAAATTATAATACATGTATTTTCATTTAAAAAACCAGTTTTCCAAAAAATTTCAAAACTAAACTTAATGCTTATAATGCTAAATAGTATAATGCTAAATTTTTGTTAAGAAGTTGGGCTTATTTAGTCACCTTATGAATTTAAAACTCAAGTATAGCAAAACAGCATTTGTTACAAAATTAAAACTAGGATAATAAACTTTTAATTCGCAAATTTCTTTTGTCCTTTACTCAGATGACTCTTATAACATACAAATTCATAAAATTTTGCAATAAGGTTTCTTTATATACAAAAAGTGACATAATTTACTAGAGACAGAATTCAGTGTTACCTAAATGTCCGTTGGGTAGACGTTTCAACATACATGGTTCCTCCTTGCCAGATGGGCTCCTGATGGAGGCGGTAAGGTTGGTTATATCAGTCTCTGTAATCTTGAGGCTGACCTCACTGCTGCGACCAATCTGGGCTTTCTGTTTCGGTTCTCCAGCTGAAATAATCATTTTTAAAATAATAAATTTACTGTTATTTCCTATTATTTGGGCTCATAGACTTAAATAACCACTAATTGAAATCATTTATTGTTAATTGGGAATGATGAAATGAAAAGACTGCCATTGGTTATATTCTATTGAAAACAAGTACAGCAAACAGTTTTTGCAAGTTCAGCTTTAAAATATCAAAATATCTCTGGTTTGTTTTATTAACACACAAACACATTTCTTCCAGGACATTCACCTTTTCACTGATTGCAGTTTCAGCAATTAATGTCCTATTATCAACATTTGACAGCATCAACATTAGACAACAATCAACCTGTATTGCCAAATAACATCTTGTTTAAAAAAATCTTTGGACCATTTCTTTCATTTTTTTTTAAGTTACCATCTCAATCCAAAGTAGCTAATTATTGGTGATACTAATCATTTTATAAAGTTCACGAATACAACGAATACAGCAATGCTTTTGGACATTTTCCAACCTACAGTTGCTGGAATTGGAAACATCCTCCTACATGTGCATGGTTTTAGATTGTAAAAATCACACCAACAATTTATTTGTGCAGGTAACGGAAGGTCAAAGGTCAGATTAAATCAGTAAACAAAACAAGATATTCAGAAGTAGAGGCTCTGAGACTCCAATACATGGTCAAACTAAATTATTTTGTAAATAAATTTCAGCTGTACATGGAAACATTTATCTATTTTCCAATTTTCCTCCCAGAAAATATCAACAGCTTTTATATTCAAGAATTTTTACTTTTCACATACATTTTGGAATGTAAAAAAACAAACAAAATTCACTTTCTTGAGAAGATTGAAAAAGTTCAAACTAAAGTAGACCTTCTTTACTAGAATTACTATATTATTACTCTAAAATTGTTATACAGTCAATCACTCCTGCCAAAACTGCTAAAAACCTTTTAAAATTCTCAGCATTCCCAAACAATAACAATTTACAAAAGAAAACTTTTAATTTCCTATTCTTTCCAAAAAATATTTTTTCAATTTTCACAGCCAGAAAACGAAATAATTTGACAATTAAAAATGGTGTAATGAGTGTTCCATACTTAGTAACAACTTCCTCATCTTCAAAATGAAATAAAATTACCAATAAAACTAGGGCCCTCAGGTAAAAAGGTATAAAATATTTGAAAGAGAATTATTCTAAGAAAATATGTAATGAAAAAATTCTTGCTTGCATAACTCCAGTCTGGTAAAAAGATTTTCAAGTATGTTTATCCTTGTATCAAAATAATACTAACAATTTAAGCAAACTATCTATAATTTATTGATGTTTCACTATATAAGAAACCATGTTAAAGTGCTCTGTTAACAGAAAAGTATGATAACATACATAAATAGAATCTATTTTATCATTTTCATCATTGAGAAAGATTTACTTCACTTCATACTGCAGATTGCCTTTCTTAAAATAGTATGCCAATTGGCAAAGCCAAACACAAAACATGTTATGCTAACATTTTAGCTCAAAGAACGTCTGCCAGACAAATTCAAATTGCAGACATTTTTTTTAAACAAGGTTTAAACACAAGACAGACTACCTGTGCCTCAAATTTCAAAACCTTGCAATAGTAATAAGCCAACTGACATTTTACCCTCAATGATGAAATGGGCTTGTCCTGCTTTGACTTTGGGACAGTCCATTTTAGATTTCAGGGATTTCAGGATCAAATCAATAAATAAACAGCCAATGTCTAAGATTTGGTCAGACTATGTAAATGCAGGCTACCCTGTATATGTATTAATAGGCACAGTCCTATCTCTATTGCTACCAGTACTTTGACAATCTGTAAATACCTATTCACAATAAAAATACCCACAACTTTGAATCATTTTTCACATCTTTTTGGCAATTTTCTTAACCACCAAGCACGTTACTACACTCAAGTAGCAATTCCAAAAATTCATCACATTCATTCATGTTTTTGCAATCACCACAAGAGCCTGCAGTATCTTCAAAGTTTTCTGGTATGTTGAAATGTCTTATTACTAAATGAAACAAGGTAATATTTCAGAATGCCACAAGAATTTTTTTTTTCCGGATTTTCAAAATTTTGATATTACAACTATGATAAATGTAAAGAACGGTACAATTTACCTTGAACAAGCCACTCATAATGTGATAAAGAATATTTAAAACTTTAACCCACTCAATTTGTGTAGTGGACTCCCCTGGTCTCTGAATAAAGACCTATTCATCGTTAATTTTAGGGATATTTTATATATAAAATGACCAGCCAACAGTATGATATTTGTTCAATCTAACCCCACTATATTCAATTGTTATAGACCTTTATCTATCGTCCCTTGTAGTCAAGTGGTCATCAAAATCTACAATGTAATATTTACCTGTGACTTTAGCAACGAAAGGTGATCCAGAGATGTTTTTGTCGGCAAATTTAACAGTGATATTATACTCTCCAGGAGCTGTTGGTACGTAGGTGACTGTACATGTTCCGTCCTCGTTGTCCTTGCATTTAATCTCGGTCTTTGATGGACCCTCGATAGCAAGAGACAAACCACCTAGAGGAGATCAAAATTAATTTGTACATTCATCTTGAATCTTTACATTTTGATTTAAAACTGGACAAAACCAGTTTTTCTTGAGACAAAACTTGTACCATGTTTATCAAGGACAATCACTTTTGTATTTTAACTTGCAATATCTCTAACAGTAAAATACATTTACACAGTTACTACCTAAAAGCAATAAGTCAACATTCAATTTCCTTCCCAGTTTAAATGAATCAATTCAAGTAAGTATAAAATTATATGTATAATATTCATTTAAAATTGCATTAATTATCATAATTATGATTGTATAAATTTTTTTCAAATTCTTTCACAAATCATCAGTAAATGATTAAACCTACCAGCACCAGCATCCTTGGTAACTATGGTGAACTCAGCAGGTACACCGACAACACCGTGGCTCAAACCTGGACCATAAGCAGTCACAAAACGGCTGTCAACTGCATCAACATGGAACTGGAATGGACTGCCTGTGTAACAAGAAAATATGTTTGTTAATTAATGTGTTATATTTTGTATACACAATACTGTTATACAAACTATATAAATTCTATGTATTTTATCATATACTAACAAATGAGTCCTTTACTAATGTCTAAAGTACATTTTAAAATCACATGACCAAATTACATTACTAGGCCACATTATCAAACCACATGACCAAAGTGCATAACTAAACCACTGACTAAATCATATAACCAAATTACATAACTAAACCACACTACCAACTGCATTACTAAATCACATGATCAAATCACATGACACTAGCATAGATGATTTGCTAAACAACATAGACTATCCTTATAAGAAATGATTACAAGTCATGTTAATCTCTAATAACCTATGTATTATGCCAGTTTTGTTTTTATTTACCCATCTATAAATAAACCTCTATTTGGCCCAACAACAAGACCCAACAAGCAAGTATATGTTTAACAAGTTTGTTAACAAGCTCGGCACCTACACATTTTCGTTAACAAGTGCGGTACTTACACATTTTCAGAGTTACATGACTTGTATATTAACCTTTTCCCTTATATAAGCGTGTTTCGACGGCTTTCCCCCCCCCCCCTTTTTTTTGAGGCCTCAAACAGTGAAAAAATGTCCTAATTAGACCCCAAACACTGTTTTTCGTTTGAGAAATGTTGTTAAAAAAAGTGACCATTTTTTCGGCGCCGTCCCCCATCCAAATAATACATCAGGGGGTTGCCAGAAGGGGGATGTGCCCCCTTCTGTTTGGGGGGTTTGAAGGGGGGCGGAGTCGCCCTCATCGCCAAGAAAATTTTGGACTTGTGAGAGGCTTAAAATGACCCCAGGTTGATCATAAGGTAACGTGTAACCAACGCTGAAAAGCCTTTGACTCTATCTCAATCCCTTGAGAAGTTGCAGCACTTTGGAAGAAATTTTGATGGAAAAAATCGAGGCAAAAAAGTGATTTTTGGCAATTTTGAGACGTCCCCTCGTTGCCATGGTAACAGGAAATTTAAGACTGAGCATGTCGTTACAAAGGCAATGGTCCAGTCAACATTTGTGCCAAGTTTGATTAGTATTGAAGCATTTTTCATAGTTTCATAGCAGTTTGAACTTGTAAGAGGAGGCTTTTCAGTGAAAAATGGCCATTTTTCACAATATGCTCATGGGGGAAAGGGTTAACTAAAAAAATATATAAATGTTACAAAACAACAATTTTTTCACCAAAATTAGGTAAAAAACCACATGTTAACATGGAAAAACTAGATTTTTGGTGATTCCAAGGTTTTTCATCATTTTTGTTAACCTTTTCCCTTATATAAGCGTGTTTCGACGGCTTCCCCCCCCCCCCCCTTTTTTTTGAGGCCTCAAACAGTGAAAAAATGTCCTAATTAGACCCCAAACACTGTTTTTCGTTTGAGAAATGTTGTTAAAAAAAGTGACCATTTTTTCGGCGCCGTCCCCCATCCAAATAATACATCAGGGGGTTGCCAGAAGGGGGATGTGCCCCCTTCTGTTTGGGGGGTTTGAAGGGGGGCTGAGTCGCCCTCATCGCCAAGAAAATTTTGGACTTGTGAGAGGCTTAAAATGACCCCAGGTTGATCATAAGGTAACGTGTAACCAACGCTGAAAAGCCTTTGACTCTATCTCAATCCCTTGAGAAGTTGCAGCACTTTGGATGAAATTTTGATGGAAAAAATCGAGGCAAAAAAGTGATTTTTGGCAATTTTGAGACGTCCCCTAGTTGCCATGGTAACAGGAAATTTAAGACTGAGCGTGTCGTTACAAAGACAATGGTCCAGTCAACATTTGTGCCAAGTTTGATTAGTATTGAAGCATTTTTCATAGTTTCATAGCAGTTTGAACTTGTAAGAGGAGGCTTTTCAGTGAAAATGGCCATTTTTCACAATATGCTCATGGGGGAAAGGGTTAATTACACTTTCAACATTCAGATTTTGACAAGTTAACAGAAAACAAAAACAAAAGAAGAGTCCTTGAATGCCAATATGAACTTTGAGAAAGTTTCAGAAGTGAGCACCTTTACCTTTCCTAGACATAAACTAAACAGATAAATACAACATATCTTCTACAGATACCATTATGATCCAGAAATGAAACTAAACCTCCTGTAAACATCTCAAATATCCTTCAAGCCATTCTGTAATTTGTAATATATCTTTGTGGAAAAAAAAACCTCTCTTGATTACATTAAATTTACAACACTTATAACTGAATCAAGTGTGTTGCAACTTAATATGTGTATATTTTTTGCATTGAAATTATTTATTTTTAGAATAAATATACATTATCATCAATATATAAGTTGAGAGAGGAAAACTTATGGTGAAAGGGAATTTTATGGAACAGAATCAATTCAATTCAAAAAAATTTCTTACAAAAATGGCAAAAAGCAAATCTGATAAAACAAAATTTACAAATCAATCTACCCTTTACAAAGTTGGTCTCAAACTCGAAAATTAATGCCATTAAAACAGTGATGATTTACCAGTAGATAACTTCCCCATTTATACTGCTGGAAGGATGTGGTAATTAACACACTTATATTCATTTATCCTTTAATCTTTATAACTTCTTTCGGATGTTAGCAAATAATAGGCACACAAATATTACAAAATTACAGATGATTAAAAAGGTATAAAATGAATAAAAATAAAAATTTAGTAATCTTTTTATAGTGCACAGTCATACAAAGCAATTATTTTTTATTACATTACAAAACATTTATATTGCATGATGAGGATAGTCCTATAATTAACCAAGCTGATATGATAATTACCAAGATCATAATTACCAATCCGAAATAATCTAAAATAGAATTTTACCAACCAAAAAAGACTTGAATCCAACATTTAAAATACTAACCAATGACCATAAATCTGAACAAGTAATTGTCAATCAAAACAGTAATTACCAATCTGAAATAGTAATGTACCAGTCTGAATACTAAATACCAATCTGAGATAGAAATTACCAATCTGAGATAGTAATTACCAATCTGAACAGTAACTACCAATCTGAACAAATAATCTACCAATCACAAACAGTGAATATCAATCTGCACAATAATCATCAATCTGAATTAGTAATTACCATTTTAAGCTGTAAATACCAATCTGAAATAATAATCTTAATCTGGGCAACAACTACCAATCTCAAAAAATAATGACTAGTCTAAAACAGTTAACACCAATATGTCACCAATCTGAACAATAATAATCTGAATTAGAAATACCAATCTGAACAATAATAATCTGAATTAGAAATACCAATCTGAACAATAATAATCTGAATTAGAAATACCAATCTGAACAATAATAATCTGAATTAGAAATACCAATCTAAACAATAATAATCTGAATTAGAAATACCAATCTGAACAATAATAATCTGAATTAGAAATACCAATCTAAACAATAATAATCTGAATTAGAAATACCAATCTAAACAATAATAATCTGAATTAGAAATACCAATCTAAACAATAATAATCATTCTGAAACAATGCTTAACAATCTAAAATATGTATTACAAATCATAAACAATAATTACCAATCTGAAATGTGATTGTAGTTCCAACATTCATTTTTCAGTCTTATTAAAAATGTAATTCACGAAAAAAAATGACTTATTTGTATCACATTCCAGTCTAAATCTTAGTCAAACAAGAATGCAAATGCAGGCAAAATTTCAAAACTGCAACACTGCACATTATTACTCATTTTACAACAAGCTGGAAAACTGCAGCTTGGAATTTTCAAGACTTTAAAACATTGATCACTTACTCATTGATATCTTCAACATCTCCTGATTTTGAAATTCCTCCCAAAATTCCGCTTAAAATCTATTTTTTTAACACTAGGGGAAGGAAGGAAAAAAAGAGAAACAACAATAAAACAACAGCTAAAATCTCATTGATCAATCTGAAGAACACACAGATATAAATGTTCTTAATGAATAAATATGAAAAAAGAGAAAGTTTCCTTTATAATGAATGACCTTCCAAAATAGATAAGCTTCGATAGTGCATACCAAATTTTTCATATCATTTTCCGGAATTAAAAGCAGAAGCAAGTATGTGGCAGACAGAGAATGATTCAGTTAGACCGTTACTGTAACAAACCATCAGGCACCCAAGGTATGCATTAAACAGGTATATAGATAAAATCAATGGTATCAATTCCTGATTTTCTCAACAAGTCTGAAGAAAAGAAAATTTCATCCAGATCAGCCTAAGCTTTATCAGCTGACTCAAGCTTTCTATACTTTTTCTACCTCCAATATCAAGATCTTCAGATTTCCAATTATTTTCTTTATTTCAAAGCAATTACACCTGTTTGAGCGATGGAACATTTTTTATAATTATTATTAAGTATTTTAGCATTAGTCCCAAAACACCCTTACCATTTAATGCATGACAGTCAATACTGTAAGATAGGAGTGAAAACTAAGCCTAATGTTAAACATTGGGGAGTAATTAGCAATGATAATCTTAAAATGCATTTTCCAAACAAACTCTGTCTTTAAATTCATTTCATAATTTCAAAATACCAATAATAGAAGTACAATATTCAACAAGATAGAGTCAATAGCAACAAATGATCAATTTTCATTTGTTTTACTGTACTGTTCTTTTTTGTTCTTTTTTATTCACTACGCTACGAATAAGTATTTTGCCCTACACAATAATCATATACACAAAGGGATCTGATCTTTGGCAAATACTGCATTGTACATGTATTGTCATCCCTTACTTATAAGATACTAAACTTTGTGCACACTTTCAATTGAAACTAGCATACTTTCAAACATAAAACCTCAAGATTTCTTTTTCTTTCAAAAATTGAATAAGCCCTTACATGGGGAGAAACATTATATTCACATGAAGACAGTACTACTGCTGTACATTTTTTAACCAAGTTCAGTCTGACATTTTATTACAAAATTTCAACCATCATGATCATCATTTTTATTACATTTTTGCTGTACAAGCAGGCACATCAGTCTATCAGAAAGATTTATCTCACTTTTTCTACCCATGATTCCGTGGAAGGTTTGCCAGCAGCTTATATCAATGATTGTAGAGGATATGATAATGTATATTTTCTGACAACATTCAGCCTATCTTATAATCTCACTCTGCAGGTAATATCTACCACTGATAAGCCTGTTGCTGTATTTTTGTACCTGATATCTAAATATATACCTATAGGGAAAACTTCAATCTGTGTAATCTAACAGCAAAATATGCTATATTGTATACACATTATATGTACAGGTGTTCCTGCATAAAAATTATGTGTAAAGATAATATTTTTTTTTCACTCTATATGAATAATCATTAGTTGATCAATATGATTATTACCACATGTTTTTCAATCTCCTTGATTTTCAAGATACAAATGTATATTATTTAATCTAATAATCTAAAGTAAGACAAAACAGAACTTCCCTATTGTATTTTTATATATTGTATTATTTTTTAACAATTAAACTTATTAGTAATCAAATTTTATTCTTTGCCTAAGAGAAGCCAATCCAAATCCTGCACAAAAACTAATTAGCTATTCAAATTATGAGTGTTATCACCTTTACACAATGATATGTAACACATATGAGAAAGTAACACATATGTGAATGTTACACATATGTGACAGGATCTTACCACTAATTTCTTGCTGGTTGTAGCAAAGGTGAAGTTCATGGAGTCCAACTTCCTGTGGCTGGTATCTAACGGTAACGGTGCCATCTTTGTTGTCCTCAATCTTGGGGTATGCTTTCTTTCCAGACGGCATGGTTATATAGGCTGCAATTATACAAACATTCACTTAAAATAACTAAATAAACACATAGAAATGTTTGGCGTTTTTTTTTCAAATTTAATTTCCCTAAAAACCTTTGAAATTTTGTAAGCCTAAGTATTCTATTTAATGAACTAATGGAAGAACAGTTTTCAAACATCAGTAACAGCAGTATAAAGTATGTATGTCAACATTGACCAAATCTTTCAATTCAATTGATATGCATCCCATTGTTATATTACAGTTCTAAGTTGCTATTTATTAAAGAATTTATACCAGTAACAAAGTTGAAGATGGGTCCAACTGGAATACGGAACTCCTGTGGTGCATACAATCCAGGGGCAGCTTGGGTACTGTCAACCTGGTCTGCGGTAATAAGGTCCTCACCCACCTGAAAACAAAAGAATAATTTCATTAACTACTGCATTACTAAAAATCTGTTTTTAATTTTCACTGTTTTTTCTTCAAATTTTCACCTGACTTACTTAATTTGACAAATAGACACACCATGCTTAATTGTCACTACCAAAACTTTAATTCAGGGAATTTAAAATCAAAACTTGACATAACTTCAGAAAGTTTTATCAGACTATTCTTGCATACATGATGCATGGCCTGTCCTAATCAAGACATAAAATAGTGACAATCACAGGTGATAATTGCTACTGATAGTGATCTAAGATTTAGTTCTTTACAACTTTTAACAAACATGCATTGAAATTTCTTGCTTAGGTCATTAAGTCATAGCAAGACAGTGGTCAGATTTTCCTGAGTTTCTATAGGTGGAATTTAAGAAAAGATTTCAATCTTAAAATCTAAAGCTTTCATGAACTCTGAAATAAAGCTTGTCACAGTGAAGGGCCTCTTCTCAAGATACACATAATTGTATGTAGATGTTTTTGGTTAGAATCATCACTACTTTATGATGGATCATAATTATAGGTATAATTGTTAAAATGACGGCCACTTTCAAATAAACTTCTATTCCAAGAACAATTTTACAGTTTTCAAAATGTTCCTGCATTTTGAATGGATTTTATCATATTGCATTTTGAAATGTTCGACAAATGTTATAATTTTTTTTTCTTTTAAAACCACAGGAAATTATTATGGCAGATTTTTATGACGAGACATAGAGCAGACCTTGACAGATAACAGCCCATTAGTAAAAACACATAAAAAAAAAATTTCATTGTACAAAATATCTATAAAAGTAACAAGTTTAAAGTTATATCTGTTAACAAAAACTTGTGAACAAGCCCCTTTTAAAAGCGTCTTTATTGCTGAATGCTCTCACAATCACTGTATCCTTGATGCAATTTGGATGTGATATGTGAGCTAGAATGATCCAAATGCTGGCTTTAGATACTTATCATCAAACCTATATAAAATACATCAATCTAAAGTAGAAAGTTCAAAGCTTTGGTGTAGAAATCAATCTTAGGAGCATGAAGCTGTATTATACTTTATTATAATGCTTTACAGCTATCAACATGGACTGATAGGGAGACATCAGAGTAAAGATAAGCTCATTTCATATACATCATGTATATTTCTGCAATATTTATGACTTTTTAATCCAGCTGATGATAAGTCAAATTTGCAGAAACCTAAGAAATGTGTCAAAAGGACATGGACACCCCCAAATTTCAATGTTTTGTCATGAAGTTGGATAGTATGACAGCAGAAAGAGGGACATGGGCAAGTCTTTATCCCTTCCCCCCTTAGTAGAGCTGGCGTATAAATTCATACTGAGTAAATTGCAAGGAGGTTCTGTTAAAAGTAAAGGGTCCGCCATATGTTGCCAACTGACCTAGGGTAATTACAGTAATATAATATTATTACATAAACAGTGAGGAATTTTGTCTGATTAAGCTTTCAAGAAACAGAATAAAGTGCAATTAGATTTATTTAATGAATTATAATATTATGTAGATAACTTAATGCAATCAAATTAAATGTAATGTAAATTACATGATAGATTAAGCTACTATGTCATGTAGATTACATAGCTGAAATATGGTAACATGTCATGTACTTTATATAGTGCAAATACTTGTAACAAGTTGAAATGTTATTTAGATAACGTAACTTAAACATGGCAACATGCTAATATGTAGTTTATTACAGTCATGTTATGTAGATTACAACATGTTAATGTAGATCACATGATAAAATAAGGTTTAAAATGTTATGTAGATTACATAATGCATTGTGGGTAACATACCGGAGGATGTTTACGTAGATAATCCTGCCATTCTGCATCATCAACAGCCTATAAACATGCAAAAACACATACATAATATCATCATGCATCATGCTGTATATTGCAAGCATTACTAGGACACTATTGTAAGAAAACATTTTGTTAAAAATTAAAGAAGTAAATATAACCTGAAGTGTCACATCAAGAGAAACAAAGATAATGTGTTACGCAACCTATTAACTTTTCATTTCAACAATGGTACTTGATTCACAACATTACAAGAAGAGTAACTTCCCTTTATCATACACTTTTGAATAAACTAAATGTGAGTTACTTCCCTTGAAAATATTTTATCAGGATATTCAAAATATCAGAATAACATCTTTGAGCTACTTCCCTTTGGTAAAAACCGCCATTTATTTTTGGGAGGTAATAAATAGACAAAACATACTAATCAATACTTGGCATCATCAGACGCATATGTTTATTTTTTTAACATAAAACTTCTTTAAGATTATATAGTTATTTTGACTTCAAAGATGTTTCAGATCAAGAAATGGCCCTGCGCTCGTGCAGTGAATTTAATGCAATTTAAAATATCCTCTGTATTTCTGTTACAACATTGGAACAACCAGGTAAATAAAATTATCATAATGATTTCTGAAATACTCAGCTGGTGGATTAATACTGTGCCAGTAAATAAATAATTCTGACTAGTTCCTCAGGAAACAATTTAAGCATAAAATATTTCCAGATAACATTTGTTGTTTTTTTTTTTTGGTAATACCTTTTGTCTGAACAAAAAACAGCGACAGGTGAGTTTCTTTAAAACACTATAACAACTAACTCCTTAAATTTTTATACAACAGTGATGCACTGATCTTGATATATAGATTAATGCAAAGGTATTAAATGAACAGATCATATTTGAAAAAAGAAAAAAAAAGAAAAGTTAATAATTAAAACAATAAGAGCTTGTCTACGATAGGTAAAACTTAATTTAATACTCATAATCACCAAAAATCCTTCAAAAATTGTAATTACATATTTAACTGAGTCAATTAGCCAAGATGGTTCTTGTTTGAAAATAATCCCACTATATGAGGCGAGTATCATTTCACATGTTTTCAATTTTTACTAATTCTTAATTTTGATTTTCATGCAAGTAAAAACATAAAGACTAAACTTTATTATCGAAGCACCTGCTTCGTAATTCCCATTACGCGTTTGGTTATGTAATGTAGATATGTAATTTATCATAAACATATAGATATTACCTGTAGAGTAACATGCATGAGTAATATTTATAAATGAAATTCTGACTTTACTTTTCATGGACACTCCTATAACTGTACAAGAAATCTAACAATTCAGGTGATGGGTCTACAATGCTGCTAATACCAGCCAAATACCACCAGCTCACTGCTCTTATCAACTTTTACTAAGATAAATTTGTACATTTGAACATGAATAGTGGACTATAAGGGTGTTATGAAATCGTCATACAATTTCAATATCAAAATGATTAAACTAAAAAGTTTCCCAAATGCATTAATAACCTTTAGCCACAGCCGGTGGCAATGCAACCATAAAAGACCATGATGAACCAGCACATCCATGATGTCTGATTATGGTCTGCACTACTTCTGCTATTTTGTCAGTACATATTTTGAAATTTTCCCAAAAATTGGTGGAAGATGGACAAGTCAGTTTAAGATATTGAGTGCAGTAAGGTTTCAAGTCCAGTCAATCTTCATACTTGTATTATGTGCAGCTTTGTATGCCATGTTCTATACAGGTGGCAATGGGGAGTTTAACTATTCAGAAAGCTAACATTTATATGATCTCCACTACATTTGTTACCATAATCGGTACAATGGGCAACTCTTTTCATGGCGGAAGTACTTTTTCTTAGAAATTATAAATCTATATATTTCTTACGTAATGTATGCATTAAGAGAATATACACCAGGTGTTTGATAAATAAATGTACAGTTGTAACAGAGACATCAAAAGTAATCATAAAATCCTACTTCTCAACCCCTTAGACATCTTACATGCATACATTGCATAGATTAGGGCCTCATAAAAATAAAAATTGGCTTTCAAACACCATCAGAGGTTTTTAATTTACCCCAATATTTATGTAAACACCAGCAGTACTGTCTTTTCAATTACCCCAATTCCCACAAACAATCATCATACACTGACAGATTCAATGGATCTGTTTAGTTTCTAATCACAATTTCGAAGGTTTTCACCTCATTTTCCTTGTAAAATTCCTGAAATTCTTCAGGAAATTCCCGAGAATCTTTGGAAGAAAAACAACTTAAAAACTTTTGATTAATGTGGTATAACACTTTTCCTTTTTTCAATCTATTTTAGTGCTTGATCTGGAAAACGATTATTATCTTTTCAATAAAAGGTACAAAAATGAGAAGACTTTTGTCTACTATTTAGAACTGGAACAACCATAACAGACAAAATCAAAACAAATCCTTACAGCTATAATCATCTAATTCCTTTTTATAATTTCATACATTTTGTTCTATTTCAAAATAATTAGTGAAAACAAACCTCTTTAAAAATAGTTCTCCTATTAAAGGGAGGTAATAAAAATGTTTTATTTTTATATTGCTGCTGAAATTTGTATGCCAAATTCTTAATAAAGTAAATTTAATACGATAAAGACAAATATAAAGGGTATAAGTTGTTGTTTTAAAAGTCTGACAGAAAACATTCCAAACTCAAAACATTGCTAGAAACTTAAAATCCATACTTACTTTTTGGACATGGATAGAAAATGTGCTTAAATTCATTTTTTGATATCCCTTTTATAGTATATAAATCCTAAGTTCTATAACATTTATTCGAAAAAATTTTATCTTTCACACCGATTTTCCCAAATTTCAGACATTAATGTTTTAAAACTATTCCAAAAACAAATTCACAGAATCTTCAACATCAGCAGAAAGAGAAATTTGGACGAGCCAAAAGTTCTGAGGGATGGAAATGCACGGATTTGGCACGGAATCTTGATAAGTCTCGCAAATAAATGTCAAGAAAAGTTTGTTAAAACATCACAATGGGATGGATCAAAGTTTGAGCTTCCCACAGATGGCATGATACTCTGATTCTTAGCCAAACAACAACAAAATATGCAGTAAAAACACAACTATTTCATATATCTTAACTTGAACAAGACAAGTTACAACAAATATGTTGATATTTTAGATATAGAAGTTACCAGCTATGATTGTTGTCAACATTCAGTGCAACTATTAAACAATGTATGGTTATACACAGTTATTGCAGGACAAAATTTATATCCTGTATCGAGGACAACAAACTTATCAAGACAATACCTGTACTAAAACATTATCCTGTAAAGACAAACCAGGAATTAAGATTGCCCCCCTCAAGAAAGACCCTCTGTTAAGACAAACCCTTTACACCATTCCTGTGTTACAGTGTAAGGACAGACCCTCTGTAAAGAGAAACATAACCCCTGTGTAAAAAACAAAGAAAACCCCTATGCTGAAACATATCCTAGAGTGATCTTACAACTGATGCAGTAAAATAAAAGTTTGAATTCATAAATACAATCTAAATGATACAGCCATCAAACATCAAGAAAACTACCCCAATTAACATCTGTAAAAACCACTTACTTCCAGAGAAATCAATCAACAGTATACACCTGCCCAAAGATTCAATTAACATGCAGAGTTAGATCATTGAAATTTCAATCTAAGTGGAGTACAAACTCATTTCTTCTCTCTTTTATTTCTTCTCTCTATCGTAAACAGGCAACTCACTAAGGGGTGTGGATAATGATTAAAATACCTGCTATGTAGTTGGGTATAATCTTCAAAAAGTTTTTTTCAGATTTTAATCCCTGATATGCTATGGAATTGCTGAAATAGTTTCCTAATTTTACAGCTCACATTCTGAGCATCAATTATTCATTTGAACAAAAAACAAAACATACAATTTTTTTTTTTTCATTTTAATTTTTTTTGCTATCTTATAATGAGGCAATTATTAACTAATTATATAGTAAATATGTAATCGAGTATTCAGGTGATTAAAAGACTTTGAATTGGAATAGGACTATAAAGTTTGTATATTCCTAGATGTATTGTAATAAAAACGTTTATTAAATTCCAAATATTTTGTATGAAAAATCATCCGAATTAAAACAATTTTGTATGTGGTAGGTTTAAGATTTAATTCTAGATAATTGATATTTTTTATGAAATAATATAATTATAATACATATTAATATTTTGCGTCTTGGCATTTTTCGACAATCATTAAATAGAGAATATTGACTGAGTTAGGGTGCAAAATGAATTTATTAAACATGTTGAATAAAACCATGCAATGCAACTCTGGCAAGTTCAATAAATTCAGTATTGAATCTACACATAATTATATAATAATCTATATATCACATTTCCAAAGTTCTGTTTATAGTGAAAAATAATCACTTCTTGTAATGTTAACATTTAGCGTGTGCCTTTACGCTATATTTGCATTTAATGCAAATGACATAATTTCAAAATACATTGTACATGCCATTTTAGGCACTAATAACATGGAGCACCTTTCTCCATCATTAAATTCAACTGTATGAAATTCAACAGATTTAAATGTTTAAACACAATGAACAAAATAGTTAAAATGGTAAAGTATTTTAGTATATTCTCAAATTTTTTTGGCCGTTTATTGCTATAGGAAAACACTCGTCAATCTATCAGTGGCATATGTTTCTACAACAGGAAGCTATGGTTATGATAACACTATGTTGGAACTCTGGCAGAACTTTGATTGCTTAAGTTTCTTCTACTTGAATGATGATTTTTGACTTTTAAATATAATTTATGTTCTGAAATAATTTACAGCAGTAGCATACCAGAAACTATTCATGGTTGAGTTTAACGTCCCAGCATCACAGTATTGGTCATATGGTCACATTCCAGCTTACTGGTGGTGGAAGACCTCAGGTGCCCCTTCTGTACAAGACACAAGCGGGCCACCTGAGTAGAACTACCGACATTCTGTAA